TAATCCTGAAACCAACATGATCATCTCATCAGAAAACATGAAGCAATAACTCATTATTATCAAAGTGACTAATAGAATTAATTTTCTATTTAATAACTCACATTAAAAATTTTAAACTTCAGCCACAAATCCGAGGCCTGGGTCTAATAATATTGTGTTTGTTCAAAAATGTTCAGCTGAAAGTATTCTACATAATGACACTACTGACTGACTGAGTTTGGTTTTATGCTGCTTTTAGCAATATTCCAGCAACATCACGGCGGGAGACACCAGAAATGGGCTTCACACATTGTACCCATGTGGGGATTCGAACCCGGGTCTTCGGCGTGACGAGCCAACGCTTTGACCACTAGGCTATCCCCACCGCCCCACATATTGACACTAAAATTTGCTGAAAATGATGTGAAAAACCTGGCTCAAACTTGTAAACACAAACTTTTGGTCCAGACTATTATTTTACAGTGTGATGACACATCATAGAGAGTGTTGGTTAATACCAGTTGACACTGTTCTAGCCATTCTTCCCTCAACACCAGCCCTAGAGTGACAACATAAAATTAAAAATATTCTAAAAATTCTTTGAACACAGCAGCATTGAATAAGGTAACATTTAACTATGCTCAAAAGCCTCTTCATCTTTATGGGTCCTGTAATCAGTGAAATAGAAGTCACCTCTACACAGCAATGATATCTGTTGTACAACCGGAACATGCAGAACTAAAAGTTTTCAGTCCCAGATATGGAATGGTTGCTGAGATTTGTGGCAGACTGTGGGCAGGTTTAGATATATGCCTGCAGGATCAAAAACCATGACATGTTATCACAAACAGTGTCCAAAATTTTGGGTGGTCTTAGGTTCCTCAAGACGTTTCCTTATCTTGCTTACTGTACTGGTACTTGAATGTAGGGACACCCAAATCTTAAACATTCAGGTTACAACAAGGACCTCTTGATTTTAACAACTATTTTGAGTTGGGGAGAGAGTGAGTATGGTTTTAGATCAGTTTTACCAATTTTCCAGCAACATCACAACAGAAGATACCAGAAACAGGCTTCAGACTCTGTAACCATGTGGGGAATCAAACACGGACCTTAGGTGTGATGGGCAAACACTTTTATCACAATGCAACCCCATCCCACCTGCCCAATTTTTTACTGACTGACTGACTGAATTTGGTTTTATGCCGCTTTTAGCAATATTCCAGCAACATCACTGAGGGGGACACCAGAAATGGGCTTCACACATTGTACCCATGTGGGGATTCGAACCCGGGTCTTCGGCGTGACGAGCCAACGCTTTAACCATTAGGCTACCCCACCGCCCCACCAATTTTTAACAGTTTCATAGTAAGGTTTACACTGAATAATATTCTGCAAGTTACAAACAGCACATGCTTGGTACCTTGTTTACATCAGAATTCTGACTGTGATGAGACCAAATTTAATTTTCTGCCTTGATGACCAGGAATATCGTTCTGGAATTTCCAAATCAGAGAAAACTGTGTACCCTTGAATTTAGTCTTCAAGTATATTTGTAGTACAGGCATGAATTTCAGTTGGAATGTTGGACAAATTGAAATAAAATCTAAAAGTTAAATTCACAAGAAACACAAATATTGTCCTTCCACCTGCATGGGTTCTAACCTTATTCATTCTATCACTTCATACATACCACCATTGTACACTGACAAAAAGATATCACCATATACATCTAGTATGTCATGTATGCATAGTATGTTATGTATGTTTATGGCAACAACCAGAATTATGCATTCATAGTATCACCTGTTTGCTTCCTGACATTTGACTTAGTCTGTATCCCATGTTGTGTGGACATTATCAGTCTCCCCTTGCTTTTCACTAACATTTGTTCTTGCTGACATGTCAACAAGTAAGTAATCTTCATATATGTTTATAAATATAAACAAAATTTTTTTAAAGATACACAGTGGTCACTCAAGTCATGTCATTTATTGTCTATAGACCACAGACCCGTCTACAACATATATACAAATTTTACATACATTTACACATGTATAGTGAGTGAGTGAGTATGGTTTTACGCCGCTTTTAGCAATATTCCAGCAATATCACGGCGGGAGACACCAGAAATGGGCTTCACACATTGTACCCATGTGGGGATTCGAACCCGGGTCTTCGGCGTCGTGAGCGGACGCTTTAACCACTAGGCTACCCCACCGCCCCCTTTTCACATGTATACAATAACAAAGTTTGAGTTTACAATACATAGATATAATGGTACAGTATGTGGATAAATCATACAAAAATATATATCTTACTTTAATGAATTGGCAAGTATTTTGATTCTCTTATTCGTATGCATGGTACAGATATGTACCTAAGTTTTTAGAAGTGTTTCATTATTAATAGTTAATAGGAATTTCAACTTATGATAATTAGGTTTTTGACAATATACAGATGGTAAATATTTTGATCTAGGAGCAGTATCAGTCAGAGACGTAACGTGTACGCGAGACGGGTGTGCTCCGCGGTACTAACTGAAGCGCTTCACCTTAATTAATTCAATCAAAGTGGAACCAACTGGATTGGGCGGGAACACAGCGCGGGGTGAATATAGACACTACAAACAAATAAACAAGTTGTAATAAGTCAATCATCACTTGCGTGCCTATATGATATGTCTGTGGTCTTTGGGTAGCCTAGTGGTTACAGTAGTTGCTCGTCACACTGAAGTCTAGGGCCCTATTCCCTACATGAGTACAATGCGAAGTCCATGTTTGGTGTCTGATGTCATGATGTTGAAGGAAAACCATAAACATATTCACTTTTGGTAAAGAATTCACACCGAATCATTAAAATTTTGAAATATCAGTACTGATAATGCTCTGTGAAGTATGGTTATAATGAACCCACTGGAACCACTGATCATGCTAATTTTCAAGTGACGGGACAAAAAAAAGCAGTATTCTGTATCTGTCAACATGGTCAATCCATGTTCTTTATATATGTAGATCAATGTATTTATGTTAATGTATGCTATGTTTTATAACAGTTTGTTCTTTCTCATTGAATGGTTCGCAAAAACACCCTACACTGTGGATAGTTTTAAAAGCTTGCAAAAGTATACTTATCCACCAAGTGATGAGCACACTTAGCAGTTGTCGTCAGTTGGGCTTTAGACATGGGATAGGCAATAATTGTTGGCTACTCTTGTCATGCAGTAATTGCTATAGAAAGTTGAGGTTTGGACTCAGCGCAGGACCATTGATAGACCTGTTTGTTACACAGATCTTGTACAAGTGACATACTATTGTAGAAGGGAATTCACAAAGCCTTGTTAATAGAATTATTGACTATCAAACCAAAATATACCTATTTAAATGGTTTAGTGGTATTCTTGCTTTACACTGGTAAGTGTTTCTTCTGACCATGGGTATATCATAATATCAGTGTTACCGACCACGTCAAGAATGACTTATTCACACAAAGTTATCCATTTTCTCACTGTTACAGTACAATGCTCTCTTGAAAATGAGATACATTAAGTCCTTTTCTACATCAAATCTCTCCACACGTTGACCATAGAAGATTAAAGTCAGTGAAATATATTTCACTTGTTATCTACTAAATAAACACTGTCTACACTTGCTCACAAATCTTCAACCTAAGCCTCTAATCCAAAGCACCAGCTTGATCTACAACTTCTACAACACTCAGCTAGCAATAGTTGACACATATTTAGTGGTTCCAATATACTACTAATGATGCTGTGAAACACATTTGGGCTCCGTAGAGTTAACAGGTTTTGGCACAGGCTGTAAGATTGAAGTCATTGTGAGCTCTCAAAATGGACACATATACAATATAACCTAATGTTGATACTGTAGCATTTTGGAACACCTGGCTGTAGAAGTTTGGAATATTTATCCTCATCATTATCAATCATTCCTTTTTTCAACTGTGTTTACATATTTCCTGATAATGATTATCATCCATAATAATAAACCAACAATGTATTAATTACACCAAATCTACCTTCAATAACTTACACACTACTAGTGGTGAGTGAGTGAGTTTAGTTTAATGCCGCTTTTAGCAATATTCCAGCAATGGTACGATGAGGGACACCAGAAATGGGCTTCACACATTGTACCCAAGTGGGGAATCTAACCTGGTCTTCGGCATGAAAAGCAAACGCTTTAACCACTAGGCTACCCACCGCCCCTACACACACTATATACACAAGTGTACATTGGGAACATTACTAAGTATCTATCCCAGTGACCAAGACAGCTCCAATACTGCCCCGCCCACTAGTAAACATAGATATGGATCATTCCCACTCAGCATCAATCAATCCCCCTGAAGGAATAGTACATAGCCTATCCCTACCAGGGCAAACTGTGAACACACACACATTACTAATCAATTATAATAGTCGAAATGAGTAATATGTAAGAGAACATTTACTGGCTATAATTCTGGTAGATATTTGACCAAAGATTTGATATAAACAGTGTGATAAGATATCACGATGATCAATATGAGCTACAGCCTCTCACACGATAGTCTACTTGAATAGATGGATTTGAATATGTACAATTACGTGCCTTAAACAATGTTTTGTAGAGATTTTCATGATGTTTCAAATTGATTGTGTATTTAACATGTTTGATCTTTATTTACCGGTATTCTTTTCTATGATACAAAGGTCTAATGCATTCACTGACCACTAAGTTCACAAACAAAAAGTTTAAGGGTGTTTAGTTTATATTTGGTTGAGTGAATTCTGGAAGGTTAGAATCCATGCCGAGCAGTGTGTGTTTAGTCTGTCAGATCCAACGCCTTGGTCGCCATCGATGTGTGTTGCTCGACACAGTCGTCGACATATGGGCCAATCGCTTGTACATACACACAGATAAACATTTCAAACATCGCTATTCACTAAAACCGAACCATTACTAATCTATATACACGTGTTTTTCGAAAATTTTAAAACAATCGTTGAGTTTACTTACGCCTTGCTGTTTGATGGATGTCGGAAGCTTCCGCAGCTTATGACGTCACATTTATATGGCCGACTCTTTCTATATTTGGACATTGTCCCAGCAAGCACTTGCGGCCATTCCCAAGCACTTCCTCTTCCTCTTTGTCTTCACTCACATGCACGGTGTCTGTCACACGCTCTCATCTTTTTCTCTCCTCTTCTATCCTCTCACTTCTGTTATACCCTACACTACTTTGATCTTATTTGATCAACCTTTGCGGGTTGAAATGATATGAAATGCAGGCTAGCGCTCTGCGCAATGAAGCCACCCAACTTGCTGGAGATGATGTTTTGAACGGATAGACTATGGCGTCACGCGCGGCTTGAGCTGCATGTCCAGTTCGTTGTGTCTGATGCTAAATGAGTTTAGCTATGTACTGATCCAGTCTAATTAACTATGTGGCTTTATTTCATAGAAAATGCACAGAATGTGACTCTAGTGCTCCTTTCATTTGTGTACCGTAACATTTGGACGCCATTTCTCGGCGTGTGGTGCGAGTGTTGAGTCAACAGGTGAGAATGGCAGCACGTGTATACCGGTTTGCAACACTGTGGCCACCAACAAGCGACGGACATTATTTGGTTTATAGAAACGAACCCATTTCAACCAAACTTGCTTCTTTGTCACATTACCACAAGCAGCTTAAAACATAGGTTTGCTTATCAATGTTTTCTGTTAGTTCTGAAGACGTAATTCAAACTTTGATAACAAAACGGATGTATACAACACCATTATTATACAAAACAGCATCTAACTAAACGCCAAATACAAACGGTTTCAACCGAATCTGTCGTAATTAATTGCTATATTCCTCACCCCAACTCAACCTCACTTGAATCCTGAAAACAATCTTATTATAGCAGTCGCGTGCGTGTGTGTGAAAATACTATAATAAAAGGACGTTTCACATTCACCGTTCTTTAAATATTCAATTTGTTAGGGTATGGGCGTAAATCAGACTGAATGGGGTTAGTATTTAGTATCGCTTAGAAGTTACTGAGGAAAAAAGAGATCCATAAATGGTGGTTCAGTTTTGATTCTAAGAGTGTTGTCACGGTCGACAGTAAAATGTGAAACATAATCTCACTTCAACTAGAAAACGCTTGCATTGTAGGCACGCTTCATCACTGACCAGTTTCTGACTGATACTCTTCTCGAAACATTTGGTCACAGATTGGTGTCGTTAATTTCACATCTTGGTTTTCGTTACCACTTTGCTGTATCAATAACAAAGATCTGATTTTAATGAGATTGGTCACAGATGGCCCGTTCGTCTCCACTGTAGACTAACGCTTAATCTCTGAATATGTATAATTTTGATAGTAACAAACAAGCCCATTTAAATTGAAAAGGAGCCCCAGGGAGACCAGAGATTCAGAACCTGAGGAAATCTAGACTTGCTTTATTACGCCTTTGGCACTGCAGATAGGGTTTGGCAGTAGGGAAAATAGTGTGGTTCAGGGACTGTGAGACAGAGATCTCAACTGCAGCATTTGGCTTTGCAGAGTTGCGTCCCTTGGGCTTGCAAGAAACCAATAGTCGTTCGAAACCGGGGAAAGAGTTTATTCCGTTCCCCCAACCCTAAACCTAACCCTAACTTAAATTTTGGACTTGTAGTCATTTTGTGAGTTCTCTAGTAATTGTTGTGTTAAGTTTTGTTAATAATTTTAGTATATTTATAAATATTATTTGGCGAAACGGGGTTCGTCCTGCATATAATTTTAGGTCCGTTTAGGTAGCTCTCATTTAAAGAGATCAATGTGACCTGCATTACGTCGTTTTTACTGTCAGGACTTCCTTTGGTTTACTCCCAAAAGTTAGACGTCCCAAAAGTCAGACAAATTAATCAGGCGTGACTGATTACAACCTAGTCTTACCCACTCATATATTGAACCTGCCCTATACACTAACGAGATGGTTTTCACTTTTGTACAGAAATACTTTGATCAGAATACTAATGTTGACTGGCTTACTCAATCACTGGGTCCTCCAAATGTGTTTTCATAATGTTCAAGTTTGTAATAACACGATTATAGATTTTGCATGCTTGTTTTTACAATGTTCACTTTGATCAAGCATTCTTATAGATTTTGCATGCTCGTTTTTACAATGTTCACTTTGATCAAAACATGATTATACATTTATTTATGTTGTTGAGTTTCCATCAACCTAAAGGAGTTACTTCCTTCCTAGCATTGTGTTTCCAGCATAAACAAAATCAAATATAGACAGAGGTACAGGATGTAGGGTTAGCGTTCAATTATAACTTGCAAATAATAGGAAAACATCATCATTATCGCTCTACCAAATTCAACACTATCTACACAAAATCAACCTTCATCCAAACGGCAAATGTATCACTGGCCAAATTCCCGAAACAATAGCCCACACTATATTTAACTGCTCAAAATATAATAAACAAAGAATCCCATTTACCAATGCTTTAAAACAGTACCTCAACAATGCTAACTCTTCTGATCTCAACATTCTTACAGACCCCCAGACCGCCTCCGTGGTGTAGTGGTTAGAGCGTCCGCCCGGAGAGCAGAAGGTCGCGGGTTCGATCCCCGGCCGCGTCATACCAAAAGACGTTAAAATATGGTACTTGTTGGTCCCTGCCTGGCGCTCGACATTAATGGGTACAACAAGGACTGGTCGGCTCGGAGTCAGTATAATGTGTCTGAGTGGGGTATTCCTGCTTCACTGCGGCATGGTATCTCAGTGAGCTAGCACTATAAAACCAGCTTCAGTCTGGGCTATAAATATAGTACAAGCAGCCCCACATACACATACACACGCATGCACGTCGTCATATGAGCGAAATATTCTCCAGCGCGACGTTAAACCCAATTTCACCTCACCTCACCTCTTACAGACCCCAAACTAATTAAAACAATCACTAAATATCTTATTCATGCATAATTATATCAAACAATCTAGAAACAAAAACAATAGTACAATAATTCCACTTTTTACCATTTTAAAAATTGTTATAAATATTGTCTTTTAACTTTAACTCATTTTTTAACCTTTTATTATGATCACCATTATTCACTTAATAATTATGTTTTTAAACAGGTTGGTTGTAAAGCAACATATTAACAAAAATACAATCAAATTGTTTTGTTTCATGTCAAATAAAGTCATTGTCATTATCCATAATCTCTTCTCTTTGTGTTTGGATTAGTATGTTTGGAGTAGTCCATTAATTAGTGAAGGTAACAGTGTAGTGAACCTCAGTGCAACCAACCATAACCTTTGTTGTTTTAACGCGTCTAACTTTTGGACGTCTAACTTTTGGGAGGTCACCCTTCCTTTCTACACCAAGCTGAGGTCAAGTGACATGACTGAAATACTGTACAGGGCATCGTTAAAACCCAGCTATGACAATAAATCTCACAATTGTGGACAACTGACCGCTTTGCAAAGCAACCTTATGTACTTCTGTAATACGAATGCGATTCATATTACATTTGTGAACGTGGATCATCCATCACCTGACCTTTTCGAGGATACACGTGCGCTTGAAAATCCCGTGCATTCAGGTATTGGCTTGCGAAGTTCTTTTATTGAGGTGACCGTGTTTGTGGCTTCACACGGACAGAATAAGCTTGTGAACAGGTTGTGTTTCCTCACGAATAACAATAGGTGTTGGTGGTGTTTTAAGGTGCCTCATCACTTCTCTCAAAATAACATATTTGTTGGTTGGAAAAATACAATTGCTCCTAAGGGACCGTTCATAATTTATTTGGTGTTTTTTTGTTTGTTATGATAATGATGACTTTAAGGGGGTGTCACCCATTTTGTTCTGGGGAGGTAGGGGGGTCATCAATTTTGTACATCGTTTAATTTCGTGTGTGTGTGTGTGTGTGATCAATTTTGTACATATACATATTTACAAATTACGCTTAAAAATATTGGAAGGGAAGGGGTCATTGATTTTGTACATGACATGCAGGGGCGGTCACTTTGTACATAAATGTTAGGGGGGATTCACATTGTACATGCTTGTCCATAAAAATCTTATAGTACTGTCGGAAATAGAAAAAAACTGTTTTTAGGCTGTTACTCTGTATCCCTAAAATTGACACAATTGCAAATAGCATATGTCGAAATAACCCACTTCGGCCTAACTGGGCGTTCAGTGGGATGCGTAATACGATATCCAGAAAAGCATGTTTACTCGTAAAATCGGGCAAAACTTAGAAAAAATACGAATAGCTGCTGAAAACAATAGATCAGACTATAGATGGCAATTAGGTCGCTCAGCCAGGTATGACGACGGACCGTCGACTCACCTGGCATGAAATGCACGTGCTGCCTACAGGCACAAGGGGTCATCTCAAAGATATTTTGTGCTTTTTCATGTGTGTTGACTATGTCTCATCTACTGATTAACATCTTACGTGTCTTTCTTTCATAAAGTTTATGTTGAGATATGTAAGAGAGTATGATACCCGAAAACCATAGAAACGCATCGTAGTATATAGGTGGCATGACCATCCGAAGATCGACAGGACTGGATATTATTTGTAAATTGTTATGACGTGCCGTGTACCTCCCCAGTATAATTGCCCTAAAGGATTATCTTATCTTAGCTGATATCTCTATCCCCAAGCCCGACCCCAGGTTTTGCTTTTGAGGCGACCCCTCCTATCTGTTTCTTTTTATAGTGACAGTGAGACTGCATGGTAGCTACATCCTTAATAGTTTCGGCATAAAAGTTATTATTTTACGTCAGCTATCGTTTATAATGAATCTACGTCTAATTTCAAATTGGGCATTTAAAAAGTGTCCTTTGTAATACAATATCGTCGCACACTAATTTGCATAAAGCCATGGTCTGTTCCAAGTAAGTCTTTTTGGACTTAGAAAACCCGCATTGCTCATTTCTGCACTAATTTCCCCTCAGTAAAGTCCTTTTTCTCCGTTTCCTATCTCTCTACCACTGAGACTGTAGTTAGGCCGAACTTAGTTTAACAGATATTTCACACTTTCACATATCAACTACATAAATTGTAGAGATAAATGAGAAAAAAATACAGTACTTTTTCTATTTCCGACAGTACTATATGTAATAAAAAGCAGTTTGGAGAATAGCCATCCCCGTTTCAGTGATAACTCTTCCAGCTATAAAGACTGGCTAACTGACTGACTGAATAAGGTTTAATTAGGCCGCTTCAAGCAATATACCAGCAACATCACGGCGCTGAACACCAGAGATGGGTTTCACATCCATACAGGGAATCGAACCCGCAAGCCAAGTTAAAGCTACCAAACCGCACTGTATGTATTAATGTTCACTGCACAATAGTGGTCGGATGAATGCAGACATTACATTGACGTCACTATTAGCGGTGCACTTCAATGCTAAAATAAAGGTCCAAGTCATTTGGCGGTGGGTAGTCCAGTGGTGAACGCGTTCGCTTATCACGCCGAAGACCCGGATCCGATATGGATGCAATAAATGAAAATTATTTAACAGCGGTGGTGTGGCTGAAATCTTTCTAAATGCGGCAAAAACCCTCACTCACTCGCTATTAGTTTCTGAGTATCTGTTTTGTTAAAGAAAACACACCCCGAAAAACAATTCGAGGCATTGGTGATGAGATAAATGGCGAGGACAACTTTCTGTCCAAGTAATGAAATATCCTACCCCAATCCAACGAGTTGTATAATAACGTCATGCGCGTGTGTGTGTGCGTGTGCGTGTGCGTTGTTATTGTATCTCATAATCATGCAACAGTTAGAAGTTGCGTGTCGTATATTAAGCGGCACAGACTCCCTTGAAATTTGATAGCTCAATCAAACTACCCCTGGAACCACGATCTCATTATATTCATGTCGTTTGAGCTGCCTGTACATTGTGCACTAAAGTATGCATAGCCCGTTAAGGTGGATCAAAAGAGATGTTAATTTGTCAGTAAACTAGCAGTAATCGCATTATCGCTTATTGTGTTTGCCATGGGCGACCCTGTCTCCTTATTCGGCGCCATTCTCCAGGGACGGGTGGTTAAAGCTTTCGCTCGTCTCGCCGTTGGCCCGGGTTCGATTCCCCACATGGGATGGGAACGTACAGTGTGTGAAACCCATTTCTGGTGTCCCCCCGCCGTGATATTGCTTGAATATTGCTAAAAGCGGCGTAAAAGCCACTCACTCACTCTCCATAAGGAGTACTTTAAGCGTGCCAGACACCTATTGTCAAGGGTTCGAATCCCTTATTTGCCCTCATTATGTGACTTGGTATGTCAGCACCATACCCGTGCTTGTGAGTTTCACCAAATTGAGCGAGTGGGTTACGTTTTACGCCGCTTTAGCAATATTCCAGCATTATCACAGCGGGGGACACCAGAAATGGGCTTCACACATTGCACCCATGTGGGGAATCGAACCCGGGTCTTCGGCGTGACGAGCGAACGCTTTAACCACTAGGCTATCCCACCGCCCCTTCACCAAAGTGGCAAACGCTAATACCTGCATTACTTCGGGTTTCCTCCCACGTACAATGACACGCCGAGATATATTCTTCAACGCGAGGTTGACATTTCCCATAACCCTAGTGTGTCTCACAGTCCCCGAATCACATCATTTTCCGTTGCGCCCAGCCATTTCTGTAATGCTAAAGCCCTTAACGAAGAAAGTCTAGATTTCCTCGGGTTCTGAATTTCCCTTCTCGCTGTGGCTACTTTTCAATTTAAAAGGAAATGTTTGTTTCTGTCAAAATTATATATATTCAGAGACTATGCTTTAGTCTACACTACCTCCACAATTTGAAATGAATCACAGATCACAGATCTTAGATAGCCCATCTCACAGGGGTTCGAATCACTGTTTGGACAATAATTTTAAAAATAAAATTTCAAATTTGAACGAAATCGGTGAAGAAATGGATTTTTTAGAAAATTCTCCAGCTACACTTATTACAAATTTAAAATATAAGTTACTCATAACATATAAAAACAGTGTACGGTTTTTATTTCTAAAAATTATTGTCCAAAAAGTGATTCAAAGCCCTGTGGCCCATCTACGTTTCCTTTGCAAGCTGTTGCGCTAAGTTTCTTTTTAGTTTTTTTTAAGTGAGTGGTTATTGTTTTACGCTGTGATTTTGCTGGAATATTGCTAAAAACAGCAATTTTGCAGCGGGAAATCCCAGAAATGACCTTTATTGTGGGGAATCGAACCAGGGCATTTCGCGTTACGAGCGATCGCTTTAACCACTGGACTACCCTGACTGCCCCAGAACCAATACTACTACTTCTTTTTCGTAATCAGTTCTTTTGTTGTGGTCTTATATCCAATAATTAACCCAATTACATACTGCTGAAGTATGTGGCAACATTTCCAAGCCGAATGATCCAATAGGCCGCTTAATTAACCGATGCGTGAACAGGATTAACAGGTCATATGGATTTGGGTACATTAATCCTTTTGTCATTGCAATACAGTAATCACCCCGGGTGTACCCTTATGTCGGCAACCATACCATGTTACAGTGTTTGTGTTTCCCAGGGCGTTCAGGCTAAAACGTCATCGCCAGGAACGTCAGTCCCCTGAACGGTCTGAGCTGGTATGTTGTGACCCAGGGTCTGTTCAAGACGAGATTCCAGCTACTCACTCACTCTCTGTGTGCTACTTGGTGGATGTTACAGTGTAGCGTTATGACGACCTCCAGTCTGTGTTGTGGTCTTATAACGCTGTGGATGTTAGGTTTCCTTGGTAAGTACTGCCCAGCTGACAGGGTTAGTTACCGAGCTGATTTTGTGGGTGAGAGCTGGGCCCTTATTCTCGAAACGTTCGTAGCCCTAAGAATTCTTAACTTTGATCGTAGCCAATGTGTTAAGAATGGGGTTAGGAAGTTCGTAGTGCTACACAAGTTTCGAGAATAGCTAGCCTGGAATAATATGTTCCGGTTTTATGAATTACAAAGATCGTGGGGGCGATGGGCTAGCCTAATGGTTAAAGCGATCGCTCGTCACGCCGAAGACCCGTGTTCCATTCCTCACATGGGTACAATGTGTGACGCCCATTTCTTGTGTCCCCAGTCGTGATATTGCTGGAATATTATTAAAGGCGGCGTAAAAGTAGACTCACTCACGCCTGAATTACAAGAACGCTGCTGAGTCGTGTTTAGTTATTGTCACCTCGTCTACATTGATGGCATCGACGGCATTGTGTTTAACCATGTGCTTAAGATGTAAATTAACACAGCATTGACGGAACCATTGACTGCGTTATAGTGTCTCCCAGTACACTACCGGACAAAATCACGTACACACCTTGCCTGATGATAGCAAATACTTAGCAGGAATGGCTTTCCGATGGTGATGCATTTCATACGGAGTATGTAAACTGATGTACAAAAGAAAGTACACACCTGGTGTTTGGGGTTTATTTGAAAAGTGTTGTGATTTTGACTGGCAACTTCGCAATTGGGCGCGATATCTGTGATATTTTGGCAACATATTAGGAAAGTCTGTGACTTATATATCATTGTAAAAACTCTTTTCAAAACATTTACGTCGCTTTTTGGAAAGTAATCCAAAAGCACCGGGTGTGTAGTTTCTTTTGTACGTCAGTCTATGTTTATAATATCAAGTTTGCATTGTCTCAGCCAAGTAATGTTTCAATAACGTTTGTAATTGTTTCGGTCAAATACAGTTTTCTTGTGTGTGCTCCCCTTTGCTCTGAAGCTTTTGTATAGATACAGTCTCAGACCCCCATCAGTATATACATAATACCTATAGATGGATAAAAGGTAAAAGGGATGCGCGATGATCTTGAATAATCCCTGCTTGTCGTAAGAGGCGACAAAAGGGATCGGGTGGTCAGACTCGCTGACTTGGTTGACACATGTCATCGTATCCTAATTGATCGATGCTCATGCTGTTGATCACTGGATTGTTTGGTCCAACTGGAATATTGCTGAGTGCAACAAACTAACAAATATAAATCCCAAATACAAACAATCTGTGTATCGATGACGCTGACTTTAACAACTGACTATCCATTAACGTTCGGTGGCTAGAATAAATATAGTATGACCAGAAATTATTGAGAATTTTAGGAATATGTTTAATTGGATTTCTAGTATAAACAACCTTGACCAGCTACCAAGTGCTTGGTTTCATTCAAGAGAGACAACTCCGTTAATCCTTTTTCATTAGTTTGTGAAGAGTTATATCCCTTTGTTTACTTGCTAGCAGACGACATTTTCAGTGATCCTCAGTATGGATGATTTAGAGAAGAGGAAGTTGATTTTGGAGTATTATAACAAGGACATCAGATCAGGTAAAGTGATTTCAAGTAGAACAGGCATCCCTTTGTCCAGTGTGTATCGTGTTTTGAAAAATATTGCAAATGGATATGGCATTGAGCACCAGGGAGGCGCAGGTAGGCCCAGAAAATTGACTGTCGGTGACAGGAGGCGGCTTGGTATTCCTGTTTCTAAAAACAAACGAAGGAGTTTAGAAAACTTAAGGCTGGATATGATTGATAGAGGAACTGTGGCTGTCTGTAAGGAGACAATTAGAACTGAACTGCATGCAATGGGTTGGCAGAAAAGTCGAGGAATTCCATCACCGATCATGAAACCTGAACAAAAGGAGCGAAGGTTGAACTGGTGCTTACAGCATAGAAATTTTAACTGGGACAATGTGATTTTCTCAGATGAAAGTTCTGTGTGGCTGTTTCCTAATACACTGAATTTCTGGACCAAACAAACTGAAAAACCTTTTTATCAGCGCCCAAAGTACAGTCCGAAATTTAACGTGTGGGGTGGCATATCTGTGTTAGGGGCAACGCCCCTCTGTGTATTTGAAGGGAATATGAATAGTGAGCGGTACGCAGATATTCTCGAGGGACATTTACTTCCATCTGTTCACGTGTTCTATGGAAATATTGCTGAAATGAAAGGAGAGATGGTCCGATATTGGGACAGCATGGACCACGACTTTCTAACTTCTTTGATCAGTAGTATGCCCCGCCGCATTGAAGCCTGCACTGCTGCCCATGGTGACTTGACAAAATACTAACTGTTCACCTGTCTTTGAATCTGGAGTTATGTTCTGCTCATATTCACATTTAATACGTGAGTTATGAGTGAAAAGAAATACAATCTTTAAATTCTCAATAATTTCTGGTTGTACTGTACATGTATGTTTTATATATGATTCTTTAGAAAAATGCCGGATATCCATGATTGGTCCTTTACCACTACGGTAAAACAGAAATAATGAGTGAGTTTGGTTACGCCGCTTTTAGCAATATTCCAGCAATATCACGGCGGGGGACACCACAAATGGGCTTCATACATTATGCCCATGTGGGGAATCGAACCCGGGTCTTCGGCTTGACGAGCTAACGTTTTAACCACTAGGCTACCCCATCGCCCCTAAAACAGAAATAAGTTGGATTGGTTTAACCGAATGCCATAACTCAAACATTTCAGTTCCAGATGTTTGTGCCGCTACCCGATGCAACTACTACAGCTCCTACGGCTACTACACCTACCGCTACTGCACCTACGGTTGTTGCGGGAGTAGCTACGCCTACGTGTGCTGCTCCAGTGCCACGAGGTAAGTAGAGACTCTTTACAGGAGTGAGTGAGTGAGTATGGTTTTACACCGATTATAGCATTATGCCAGCAATATATGGGCTTCACACATTGTTCCCGTGTGGTGAATCGAACCCGGGTCATCAGCGTTACGAGCGGACGCTTTTAACCATTGGGACATTCCACCGCCCCCGCTTTACAAGAAAGAATACATTATCGTTATTGACGCCTATGACGCCTAGTATAATATGTAAATGTAATCTCTCCCTGATGATAAAGTTGAAATGCGTAGGAGTGAAATACTATGTACTCGTCCACAGGCACTGAGGGTTTATTGCCCGAAGTTCTGTATCCTGATAAGTGAGCGAGTGGTTTAGCTGAGTGAGTGGTCAAGTGAGAGAGTTTAGTTTTACGCCACACTCAGCAATATTCCAGCTATATGGCGGCGGTCTGTAAATGACTGAGTCTGGACCAGACAAGCCAGTGATCAACAGCATGAGCATCGACCTACGCAATCAGGATACAGTGACATGTGTCCACCGAGTCAGCGAGCCTGACCACCCGATCCCGTTCGTCGGCTCTTATACGACAAGCATGGGTTACTGAAGATCAATTCTAACCCGGATCTTCACGGGTTCGGAGAAAGTGAGTGAGTGAGTAAATATGTGAATGAGTGATCTACGGATAGAAACGGAAGATAGGCAGCAGAAGGATATGCATGGTTTAATTAAGATATTATATCTTGATTTGTAATTTCAGTTTCGTGTTGTCTGGTGGTGCCATCACAGGCATTGTGATGGGAGCTCTTACTGTAGCTGTTGTCATCTTCATTATCTTGATCATCTTGAAGAAAAAGAAATACTGGAGAGGCAGGAGTGTTGTCGGCCACAGTAACATCGTAGGTGAGTGTCACCGTCTCCGTCAGGGATATTCCCCGAGTCATGCATCACCAATGGCCAAAGATTAACGTCAGTCACGCCCACCGTCAGGCATGAACCTCTGCCGTGTATTACTCCGAAAACGCATTATCCACAGGCATGCATTGCTCCAAACCACGCATTGTCCACAGGCCTACATTACTCCGAACTACGCATTATCGACAGGCATACATTACTCCATACCACGAATTATCCACATGCATGCATTACTCCGAACCATGCATTACTCACAGGCATACATTATTCTGAACTACGCATTACGCACAGGAATACATTACTCCATACCACGCATTACCCACAGGCATACATTACTCCATACCATGCATTATCCACAGGCATACATTACTCCATACCACGCATTATCCACAGACATACATTACTCCATACCACGCATTATCCACAGGCATACATTACACCATACTACGCAATCATCACATTATCCATAGGTATGCATTACTCCGAACCATGCATTACTCACAGACATACATTACTCCGAACTACGTATTATCCACAGGCATGCATTACTCCATACCACGAATTATCCACAGGTATGCATTACTCTGAACTACGCATTACCGAAAGGAATGCATTACTCCATACCACGCATAATCCACAGGCATACATTACTCCATACAACTCATAACCCACTGGCATGCATTACTCCGAACCATGCATTACTCACAGACATACATTACTCCGAACTACGCATTATCCACAGGCATACATTACTCCGAACCATGCATTACTCACAGGCAGACATTAGTCCGAACTATGCATTACCCACAGGCATGTATTGTTCCGACCTGCGGATTATCCACAGGCATGCGTTACTCCTAACTACGCATTACCCACATTCATACATTACTCTGAACTTCGCATTACCCACAGGCATGTATTGCTCCGAACTACGCATTACCCACAGGCATGCATTACTCCGAACTACGCATTACCCACAGGCATGCATTACTCCGAACTAGACATTACCCCCTGTCATACACTACTTCGTGTGTTCACTACTACACATTATCTCCCGTCATACATTATTCCTAACCATGAGTTATCCTAATTATACATTATTCCTATATTGAATCCCAGATTCGCACCGATTTCATTCCAGTTCCAAAGTGGTTAAATCAAATATCCGCACCAGGGCCTAGATTTTCGAAGCATTAACATTAACATTAACTTACGACTATCTTGGCGCTAAGAGTGCTTCGAAAATCTAGGCCCTGGTCGTGATACAACTGAAAGTCAGTTCATAATACCATCTCTAATTGCATGACTTCAGAGTTCGTTCTCTAATCCGGATTACTATATATTACCTAAACACACTTGACACGTAATCAAAAGACACAGAACAATGGTGTAGATCAACGTAGAGTCAGATGATCACATTACCTGTAACGGTTAACCCTTTCTGTTTCAGTGAGCAGCTCCTCCACGGCTACAAAGCCTGTCAGTACCGTCCAGGTGGGACCGTCCGCCCCACACAATCCCTACCCTGCATACCCACCCCCAGCATACCCACCCCGGCATACCCTCCACCACAACAGCCCCCATCAAACAACCAAGCATACCCCCACCCCAGCAGCCCTACACACCCAACAACCCAGCTTACCCACCCCACCCCTGCCTACAACATAACGACGACATCCCATGTTTATTAATAATGCTGCTGTTGTCAGCCAGTGTGAAATGATATATATGGTGTTTTGGCAACCCGTACAGAATATTTGTGACTTGTAAATCACAATCAAAACACATTTCAAATATTTACGTTCATTTGGGGAGATGAACCTCAATGCACAAGGAGTGTACCTCCTTCTGTACTTCAGCATTATATTTAGACAGACCGCTGGAAAATTATTCTGGAGCAACTTTCCCACTGTACATAATAAATTCACCCACTGTTATCTCGAAACGCCAGCTTCCCCGAACCCATCAAAACCATACTTCGATTCTCCCGAAGGACGCTATCCGAGCAGTCACGATGTTTTCCGAGCAGTTTCGATGATATCAGAGCAGTCACGATGTTTTCCGAGCAGTCACGATGTTATCCGAGCAGTCACGATGTTTCCGTGTAGCCAGACATACAGGCACCATCGGTGGGAAAACTCAACACGCCTTATTCTTTAACCAAAATCTATTATTTCAATATATTTTCTTATCGTTTGCATTGAAAAAGGTTTGTACAGAAAAATACCCAAATACATTCGACATCGAAAAGAGATTGTTTGACGTGATGACCAAAATAGAATGTGTCCACATTACCGTCCAGAACTGTACATTCTAGAAGATGTGTAACAAGGGAATATATTTTACATATTTACATGAAAAAATAAAGATTTTTCAAAGAACAATTACAAGATTTATTGTGTTATTATTTCTGAACTGCTACCCAAGCAAAACATGGCGTGGGTGGCGTCTACTATAATATGAGTGCTGGAATGAAGCCCAAGTTTACGTATGTCCAAATCATATTTACTTTGGTGTGAGTGTTCAGCAGTTCCGATGTTTGTATCTCAGAGGCTACATGTATTACTGTCTACGTATCATGTTTTGGATCAGGGGGTAGGTTAGTGGTTAAAGATAACGCTCGTCACACTGAACACTGGGGTTTGATTCCCCACGGAAGTAAAGTGATTGAATAGTGCTAAAAGCGGCGTAAAACCCAACTCACTCACTCAAAAATTGCTTATTGTTAAATGTTGTGTTATTTTTCACTTGGTGCAATGTTCATGTTTTCACAAGGTGAGTTAATCTGGGATTTATTAGTCCTAATTAGGTAATTTTCGCGGTGAATGAAGCTTTTGATGCAAAGAATGTACATGAATAGATAAAAAGTATGACTGATTTGAGCTGAATTTGTGTTGCATGGTTTGTAATTGAAGAATATTACATTTTCCACCCCATATATACAGCAATGTGATCTCCTTGGAGTGAGTGAGTGAGTTTATCGTCACATCGGCAATATTACAGCCATAAAAAGCTGTCTACGAAGGACAGTAAAATAACTAGATTATCACAGAGACGAATTTAAAACTAGTAATTTAAATCTAAAACAGTTTAACTATAGATGACAATACAATATAAAAACGGGCTATAGATTGCCAACAACTGAAGGTAGATGACCATACTAGGAACCATGGGGGACGATCTCCTTGGAGTGAGTGAGTGACTGAGTTTGGTTTTACGCCGCTTTTAGCAATATTCCAGCAATATCACGGAGGGGGACACCAGAAATGGGCTTAACACATTGTACCCATATGGGGAATCGAACCCGGGTCTTCGGCGTGACGAGCAAACGCTTTAACCACTTGGCTACCCCACGGCCCGATCTCCTTGGAAAAATACATGCAACAAAATCCTTTCCATATTCACGAGAAGTCTCTGCCGATTCCAACCACATTATGAGTACATGTTAATGAATGACCATCAAATAGTTTGGATATCCGGTGTTTATAAAACGGTGAGTGAGCGTATCCTGCATCACGGGTGTCACCTGTCACTAACACTTGCAAAGGCGAGTCAGTTGTTCACCTGACTGTAGAACACGAGAGCATGCTACAAGTCCAAACTGGGAACTGCATCAAACATATTTGTAATCTCTGATGGAAACGTCATCCATCTGTCTACTATTGGTCATGTTGAAGACGTTTCTGAGGCCTTGGATGTTAAACCTTCATAATGCTACTTCTATGCAAGAGTGGTGCTCCTTGAAATCGTTTGAGAAGGAACATACTTGCTTGTCACTCACATCATGTGAAATGTAGACACGTGAATACTGATAGAAATGAACAGACAAATTGGCCACAGGGGTGAGTAAGTGAGTTTAGTAAGTGAGGATATTCTGCTCGCAATGAATAGCGACCTCGCTTTTTTCAAACCTTTTTACCCGACATCACGCCGAGTTTTTTTTCATATAGACTGGAACATTCTTCTTTTTATTACACAAAAAATATATATACGATAAACCATGTTTATAACAAACTGACTATAATTTCAACCAATCAGTGACGTACAGACCCGTGCAAAAAGTATTCGGACCCTTGACGTAATTTCCATAGACTAACATGTTATTTCAGTGTTGCATAGATAATTTTCATGAAGTGAGTTTAGGATGGATCTTTGTAAAATTGGACAGGCAAATTAGAAATCATCTCTGCTCTGCGCACATAATAGTTCAATTTTCCGACCCTTATTTAACAAATGAAATCACATTTATCAACTTACGTATGGTTCCACAATGCACAATCCCATAGGCCGCCATGTTAAAAGAGTTCATGCACTGTACACATGTACATTAAATTGTTGCCATTCGATAAATAAGCAACGGAAAATTAAACAGAAATTATGTGATTGTAGGTAAGAGGATTCCTCACAAATGTGCAAAATTTGACTTGGATCTTACGAAAATTACATTCATGAAATTATTTATGCTACACTAAATTAACATGTAAGTCTATGGAAATTACGTCAAGTGTCCGAATACTTTTTTGCACGACTCTGTAGATGCATAAGTGTGCACGCGCGCGTTGATTAATGTTCCAGCCACATGACGACGGTCTGTAAGTAATCGGACCAGATGAGTCAGTAACTGACATTATGAGTGAGTGAGTATGTTTACGCCGCTGTTAGCAATATTCCAGCAATATCACGCCGGGGGACACCAGAAATGGGCTTCACATATTATACCCATGTGGGGAATCGAACCCGTGTGATTTGGCTTGACAACGCTTTAACCACAAGGCTACCCCACCGCCCACTGACATTATGATCAAAGACCTGTGCAGTTGGGATATGATGACATGCATGAGTGAGTGAGTGAGTTTAGTTTTACGCCGCACTCAGCAATATTCCAGCTATATGGCGGCGGTCTGTAAATAATCGAGTCTGGACCAGACAATCCAGTGATCAACAGCATGAGCATCGATCTGCGCAATTGGGAACCGATGACATGTGTCAACCAAGTCAGCGAAACTGACCACCCGATCCCGTTAGTCGCCTCTTACGACAAGATAGTCGCCTTTTTATGGCAAGCACATGGGTTGCTGAAGACCTATTCTACCCCGGATCTTCACGGGTCTGACATGCATGAACCATGTCAGCAGGCCGAGCCACCAGTCAGTCATCACCAACGACAAATATGGGTTGCTGAAGACCAATTCTAATCCCCATCTTCGCGGGCTTCTGTGTTTGTGCAAGTGGATGTTTAGTTTACGCCGCTGCTAGTATTATTTCAAATTCGCGGTGGACACCAGAATTGGGTTTCACACTTCGTACCCATGTGGGGATTCGGACCCTGGTCTTCGGTGTGACGAGCGAACGCTTTCACCACTAGACTGCCCGACTGTCCAGCAACCAAAAAAAAAAAGTTTATTTGTTGTTTAACGCTGCACTCAGCAATATTCCATCTGTGTGGCTGCGGTCTGTAAATATTCGAGTCTGGACCAGACAATCCCGTGATTAATAATATGAGCATCGATCTACGCAAATGGGATACGATGACGTGTGAACAAAGTCAACGAGCTGACCACCCGATCCCGTTAGTCGCCTCTTACGACAAGCATGGGTTGCTGAAGACCAATTCTAACCTGGATATACACGGGTACCAAAGGAAGGATCATGCAGTCCATTATGAAGCTTTAAAGGCAAGACCCGTGAAGGTCCGGGTTAGAATGAACCTTCAGTAAACCATGCTTGTCGTAAGAGGTGACGATCGGGTGGTCAGGCTCACTGACTTGGTTGACACGTGTCATCGGTTCCCAATTGCGCAGATCGATGCTCATGCTGTTGATCACTGGATTGTCTGGTCGAGACTCCATTATTTACAAACCGCCGCCATATAGCTGGAATATTGCTGAGTGCGGCGTAAAACTAAACTCACTGACTCACAATCCATTCTAAACTCTGTCAACCATATAGCTGGAATATTGCTTAGCGCTTCGTAAAACTAAACTCACTCACTCAAGTCAACACTGATCTTGCCACCGTTGTCATCTGTTTAAAGTTCAACTTGACACTAAATTCCTGATATAATAACCAGCATGTAGAAAATATCCAACTCCAGTCCATAATACCAAAGCAACAGATTTTGTTGATTTTTTATTACTTAAATATACATACTGATCGAACTGTATGAATAAAAATCCGTAGCAAAAATAAATATGTTGAATAAATTAAAACACATGTACAAATACGCATGCACATGTTATATGGGGATTGCAATTTGGTTGCTAATAAATACTACAATAATAGGAACTTAATACGACAGTTGTACAAATTAGCTAAGAGATAAACTAAAGTAAATGTTAGTCACATAGCAGATAGTTGCTCTAAAACTACAAACACGTTAGCACAAGAATGTACACATTGTTGACAAGGATGATTTTTCTGCCCCAAATATACTTCAATGTCTATTAGTCACTATAACGATGTTTAGCACTTGTGGGTTTTCAATTAGTGGTAAGTACGTCACACGCGTCGTAGACGATGTTGCAATGACGTCGCTTGAGTTACTGCTGCTTGTGGGCTATGAATGAATACAGCCTCTGGACCTGACTCTGTTGGGGGGTTAGTTGTTGGTGGGGGAAGGTCGGATGCTGGTTTGGGGCACCGGGTAGAGACCCCCCTGGGTGCATCATAGAGCCAGGGGCACCTTGGGGGTAAGGGAAGATTGGGCGTGGCATCATCTGGGTTGCCTGTCCGGGGGCCATCATGGCGTTCGGTGGGAGGAAGGAGTACGGGGATGCGGCCGACATGAGAGCTGACATAGGCTGGGCGCTGTACGGATTCACTTGCGGTAATGGGGTTGACTGCTTGTTCTGTTTAGCTTGGCGTCTCATCCGGGCACGTTTGTTCTGGAACCACACCTGGAGCAGGACCGAAATGTTTCATGAAGAGGATATAATAAGCAGGAAACGGGATACATCAAGAACTTGTTATTGTAATAATGATATTTTATGTTACAAACGAGTGGGTGAGTACTGCTTTACACCGCTTTTAGCAATATTCCAGCAATATCATGGCGGGGGACACCAGACACCGGCTTCACACAGTGTACCCATATAGGGATCGAACCCGGGTCTTCAGCATGGCGAGAGGACGCTTTAACCATTAAGCTACCCCTCGGCCCCTGTTACAAACGAGCGAGTGAGTTCAGTTTTACGCAGCTTTTAGCAATACTCCAACAATATCACCGCTGGGGATACCAGAAATGGGCATCACACATTGTACCCATGTGGGGAATCGAACCCAGGTCATCGGCGTGACGAGAGAACGCTTTAACCCCTAGGCTATCCCACAGCTCCTATACAAACGAAAGACACTAAGGAAACTAAGAAGTTGCTTAGCAACGTAAAGAAAATATCAGATGCTAACCTTTCATATGAACTAAAGCTTAGTCGACTGCGTTCGTCACCCATACAGATTCACTTACAAATACATGTCTCAGGTAGTTTCAGTGACATAACTTACCCTCAGCCGCTGGTCAGGGATGTCCAGTTCTCTGGCCAGTCTGTCTATGGTGTCACACTCAGGGTAGGGGTTCTCCATGTAGACCCTCTCCAGCGCCCGAAGCTGACCAGGGTGTAGCTGGTGCGAGACTTCTTCTTGTAGGACCCCATGTCAGGGTCGGGGTTGGGCCTCTTGCTCCTGGGGGGCGCCAGTAGACGACGAGGATGATGCCGTGGAGGAGATGGAGGTGTCGCAGATGGAGCTGGTAGATGAACACCTGGATCTCATCAAGGAGGTGTCACTCAGACTGGAGTTAGAGTCCTCCATACAGGGTAGCTGTGATGTGGTGAGCTCGGGACTACTTCTGGATTCAATGGATGAGGATGGAGAGTCAGTACTGGAGTTGACGTCGATAGCAGAGTCATCTGAAAGGACGATGAAAAATAGAATCGTTATATTATTCTTGAGTTCTTAGTACGAGATTTGACTCTACTCTCTTGTGTGATGGTCTACCTGTATGTCGTTAACACTTCAAGTACGGTGAGTGAGTTTAGTTTTACGCAATATTTCAGCAATATCACGGCGGGGGACACCAGAAATGGGCTTCACGCATTCTATCCGTTTGGGGAATCGAACACGGGTCTTCGGCGTGACGAGCGAACACTTTAACCACTAGGCTACCCCACCGTCCCCATTTCAAGTACAAATACGATTAAATACTTGGGGTGGAAAGGGTGCCCAGCGACCCCTGGCGGTCTTTATAACTGAAATGCTAGTCGTTATGTTACAATAGGTGACTAGACACATATGACTTCGTACCAATAGAGCGTTTGTCGTTACTTGTTTGACATGCCCAGTTTCAATTATTTGTAGGTCTCTGTGATATATGTCATACTTTGTTGACGATCACATGAAACATCTGTACACCCTCTACCGTTATTGCTTTCTTTAAAAGAGAATCCATTGAACATACCCTTCCCAGTACATGTTGGACTCGGGTTTGAATCTGGGGATGATGAGAAGGGAGGTAACTGCGTGTTGCCTACTGGTATCTGCTGGGTGAAGAAACTGGGCGACATGAAGATGTTGTTGGAGAAGATGGATGGGTTGACGGGATCCCGCTTCTCTGGTGTTGGTTGAGCTGGAACGTTGGACGGTAGACTCGCAGTGAAGGCATCTGGTGGTTTTGATTGGTCGTGGAGCCTGGAAACCATGTGCTGGTGCTGGAGGTTCGGTTGACTGTCCATGGACTTCGGGAACTCACTCAGAAAGTAACTCAAAGCATCAGCCTGGCTTTGGAGATGTGGTTCTGCTTTTACTGTCGGGACGGGTGACTCCTCTTGTGGGGGCTGCTTATCGTTGGATTCAGACGGGACCTTTTCTTCTGTAGAGACTTGTGGCATTTGTGGTTTGGGATCTGATGCAAATCCTGAGATAAGGCTTGAGTTAAATGGGTGCTGGAAGGGCTGGCTGTAGGGTGTACTGTTGACCCAGGGTAGGGAACCGGGTGGAAACATTGGCGGGTATCCGTTGGTGAGTCGCACTGGCTTGGGGTGAGCCAAACCACTTGAGGCGATCTTGGCAGATGAGACATGCTGTTCCCAGAAGTTTACTGGATTTGTAGGGGGGTCTTGGTTGGGTAGGGAGCTGTAGGGATGATGTCCCGAACTGGAATCAGATGGAATATTATCGGAAACAGATTGTCGGTCGTCATCGCTGGTGTCGGACTCAGATGACTGGCTGCTGGGTGGTTGAGGGGTGTTGGGCTCGGAGTGCGAGTCCGTGGACTCTCCCTCGTGCAGCAGGAGACGTGTGGAGTGAGTCTGTTGAACTGTTTGGTGAATCGGAGGCTGTGGGACTGCTTGGCCGTAGGCGATGGTTGAGCTGTGGTCAGCTGAGGCCAAGTCGGGCACCTGTCCGTCGTGTTCTGTCTTATGTGGCATCCCAGATAGAGTACTATTGATCAGATTGTTCAGCTGCATCTGGAGGTTGGTTTGGCTGACATTGTCCTCGCCGGCCGGAGACGGCTTGACTCGGAGACCTTGTCTTGGAAGTGTTGGGTCTCTCTGTTGTCTTCGGTTCTGCCACACGCTGTGTTGACGGTCGGGCTATGATTGGTTGTACCAGATAGTTGAGTTACGGAATTCGCTGGCAGCTGGGGTGGTGTTGAGCCAGAAGGGACTGATGAGGTGACTGGGCTGAGGAACTCGAGTGGGCTGTGGTGCCTTGTGCTGTGACAATGAACTTTGGACTTGGGATAACTGAACAGACTGGGTCTGAGACTGGTGCGCAGACTGGACTTGGGACTCGGGTTCGGACTTGACTTGGCTCTGGATATCAGACTTGGGTTGATCGTGTATGACGGACTGAGATGTAAGCTGGAACTTATTCCAGGGCTGGATGGAATGGTGAATCTGTGTCTGACTGGGAAACGGTCTTATTTGTGGCTGGTTGTTTGATTGTAGGGGAGGACTTGGCTGCGATTGGGCCTCGGGGGTCTGGGGCTGTTGCTCTGGTTCTATCACTTCTTGATCCCGGGGATGTTCGGACGACTGGGGTTGGTGAGTCACAACTTGTCCGCTTGACTGAAAGTGAGGTAAATGATGCCTGAAGTTGGCGTAATCTGCAGCACAGAACGTGAAGGACTGTCCGGGGTTGCCAAACAACGTATTCTGCACACTCCTTTGAATATCCGTGTGAGAGGGCACCGTCACAGGCGTGTATGTCATGCTGGTGGGAGGAGCGTAAGTCGTGCCAGACGTCGCAGACAGATAATCGCTGTAGAAGGTTGCGGGGGCGACGTCTTTAACAATGTCAGACATCGTGGTGATGTCGTCTATGGTCTTCGCGTCCAGAGTTAGGTGGTCGGTGTTCTGGGTCCAAATCGTCTGCTCGGTTTCCTGGACACGAGGAATGCCCTGTTCAGTGTCGTCTGCTTTGTCGCCCAGAATTGCAAGCCATGGCAGGAGGTCGGAGCTGTTGGTGTAGCTGAAGTGAGGAGCTAGTGACGCTGCAGCGATGGACGGAGGCTGAAACATTAGAGTTCAAGATTTAGATAAATCGGCCGAATATTCGCTTAATGGCGAGTGAGTGTAATTTTACACTGCTTTCGGCAATATTCAAGTAATATCACGGCAGGGACACCTGGGCTCTATTACAGTGTAGCCATGTGGGAAATCGAACCCGGGCCTTAGGCATACGAGCGAATGGTTTAACCACTATGCCATCCCACCGCCCTATTCGTTTAATAGTACATCGTAATGTCAAAGGTCTTGTATATTGGAAAGTATGTAATGTAGAGCACGATTATGTGCATGCTGCGTTGTGTGATCATGTAAAGTGCAAAATACGTAATGAATCTCAAGTGGTGAAGCGTCATTAAATTAGCCATGCACATTTTCAGATATTTGAACGATCAGTTTTACCTCGCAATGTAAAATCCAGGAAACGAGATATTGAGCAGCAATTACAGATTGGTATGATACTATTTCGTATTTTACACAAGTAGCTAACAAAAACATTAATTCTTGGACAAAGTGGAAATATTTTGTATTTCTTTGGTAAGAACGTTTTAATGCAAAATTACGATTGATCTCATTATGAAATTTCTGTACGTGTTATCTTATCATGAAATTCATGATCGGTCCTCTAAAATATTATGTGTGCTGGTCATTTTGAGTTGATCTTGGACAAAAGCTCTGAAGTTGGCGATTCAGTTTTCGTGCTGCATGTCCACGAGCGCATGGAGACAGCATGCATCTCGGGTGTAGGGGTGGTGTCAAAAGCAGAAAGTGATAATTATGACTCGTTTGATATCGCTGACAATGCTTTGATTTGATTTGAGTTCAAACTCTCCCCGGACAAGTTCAGCTATTATGATCATTCAATAATTACACCACTAGAAAATGCTGAACGTGGAAGTGACTCAACTGATGAACTCATTTCGAACGCCACCATTACTGAATCCGACTTACCTGGCAGATGTTGACACCCGCACCTTCGTGATGAGATTGAAACTATAGTCTTTATCTGATAACAATTACCATTGGCCCAAACCAGTGGTTAGTCATATCTTTACTACAAAATTAACCGAATTTATGTTGAAATAGTTTTTGCACTGTTCATGCACACATTACAGAAACAGTCAACGAAAAATATTTTCGGGCAATTTCTGACACAAATTATTGACATCCATTTTTAACCTTGAAGGGAGATAACTCTGGTAAATTCAGTTGCTGTTATGAACAGATACCAAAGATATTTTATCATATTAACAATAAAGGATGTTTATTGGCTTACCTTGTGAAATTGACGATAAAAGTAAACATATTATGTATATGACCAAAATATCCAGCAAACGTATGATGTAATAATCCAGACGTCAGCCTGATGTAAATCCAAGTCAATCCCCAGGAAAGGTCAATACTATTTACATCATGCGCTGTCACCCACATTTTTATTAGCCAATGAAAACCGAAGAGACAACTTACCTCGCAGTGCTCTTCCATTTGGTTGGTCAGAATATTTCAGCTTGAGCAAGTGAGTTGTTTTCGAAGTGTAAGAAATCACAAGTTGAATGCTTGTTGTGAACTCATCTCAAATATTTATACCCAGGAGGACTGTGTTGACATTTTCTCAAACATGTCACTTGGCAGATGAGTAAAATACCTAATGGAGATGATTAGAGTCGTGTTGTAATTGATTGGCGTTTCGCGAATTGCATGAAGTGTGTTGTTATAACGGCCATGTCAGTGATTAGTGTATTGTTTACCATCATCTCAATAACACTGTTACCGCCATTGTGAGTTAATCTTGTCAGCCGAGATGTTTTTGTATGAGTAACTGGATGATTGATAGAATTAACAGAAACTTAGCATTGTCGGTACAGGCCATTTTTAAACAAGGTGGCAGGCTAACGTAAAATATATCTTGACATTTTCGCAAATATTTCGTATGATTTTATTCATGGAATTTGACATATTTCATCATGAAAGGAAAAATGTTATTGTATTTTTCTTTAGATTATTTACTAGCGCTTGTTAAAAGGTTTTTAATCAACATATGGAGAATGAATTTTAATCGTTATCGTCAGGAATGGTCGGGTTTTGTGGGCGATGACTTTCACTATATTCCCGTGAAATGAACACGATACCCCCGAGTGACTCTGCACGTGCAGCATGACTTAATCGGTCTGATTGTGGGGTCGTGAGGGAAGATTTCTACAACCGGACTGAATCGGTGCAGAGATGTATCAACCCCATGAACGGTTACACTGTCACACTGTGACGATAGGTTTACTATATTTCTTTGTTTTAAACTTTTATTTATTCACGAGAGTTAATTAGGATTGGTGAACAAGCTTTACAGCTTATGTTTACACCGCTCCCATGCAACATATATAATACAAAGTAAACTGAAGAATGTGACGTCATCGATACTGATTATTATATAAATAATGTATATTTGTATTGCATCAAATACAAATACAACTATTCTCTAAGTAAACAGAAAGTTACGTTTTGTGTGTCTAACGAGCCATTTGTAAAAATGTAAATTAATCATGAGCTTTTTGTTCAGTTAATTTCATTATTTTTATTATAATATTATTATGAATAATACTAAATGTTATTTACTAGTATTATGCTTCTTTCGAAGAAGCAGGTAGCAAAGGTACTGTAAGTCCCCATGGTCCCTAATATGGTGATCTACCTTCAGTTGTTGGCGATCTATAGCCTATTTTGATATTGTGCTGTCCCCTATAGTTGAAATGTTGTAGATTTAATTACTAGTTTTAATTTCAAATCTGTGATAATCTAGTTATTTTACTGTCCTTCGTTGACAGGTTTTTACAGTTTACCATTACTTACTATGTAGAAAATTAATTGTTCTCGTCACGATATGGCTGAAATATTGCCGATGTGACGTTAAATTTTAACTCAATCACTCTTTCGAAGAAGGAATATCGTTTAGCGAATAGACACAACATAAATAGGTTGAGTATAATTGGATGCAAAGCCCTTCGCTGTAGTACACATACACTTTCTCGTTAGATATCATTCATTTCCAAAAATTGGTGTGGGTGGTGGATGGGGTGTAAACTAGGTCTTCAGCATGACGAACTGATGCTTCAACCAGTTACAAACTAAGGGAACAAAGGAGTATGTTATATTTGGGATCACACTTTCTTGGTAAAATACAGATTCTATTAGTACTTTAGTCCGCAGTCCAGACTACCAGTTGTCCGACTTACATTTTTGCGGAAGGGGCGGTGGCTGAGCGGGTTAGGCATCATACTTTGAGTGCTGGCGATTAGGTGTGGGTTCGAATCCAGGATTGGACCCAATCCAACAAAAGTACAAGAATCTGTACTTTACTAAGAAAGTGTGATCCCAAATGTAACATATACTACATTTGACCAGATGCTTGATTGGCATTTTAGAAGATGATATTTGATGAACATAGAGATGTTTTCTGGGTTACATCTTCTTTTTATTCTCGAGTACAACGTTTCAGGGCTTGTTTTGGCCCCATCATCAGGTAAAACTGAACAGTATCTGTTAACTCTGGCCGACGACGTGACGTCACAATGCTATGACGACGCAATACATGTGGTGGTCAATAGATACAGATGACATGGCTAATAGAATACATGTTATTATGAATATATAAGATGTCGTTTAATTACTGCAAAATTCAATGGCATTGTGTGATCATAAGATAACAAAGAATTTGCTTGGAAACGTAAAGAAAATATCAGATAGTTCTCCAACATGTTCCATTTGTATTATGACAAACAGCAACAACAACCAAACCCACAAGAGCAAGCCCCAAACAGTACGGCATCAGTGTATCTTCATGGGCACACTGAGATTGGGGGATTTTTGGGACGCTTCACATATTTTATGTTGTTTCAAGTGAGTGGGTTTGGTTTTACGCCGCTTTAGCAATATTCCAGCAATATCACGGCGGGGGACACCAGAAATGAGCCTCACACATTGTACCCATGTGGGGAATGGAACCCGGGTGGCCGGTGTGACGAGCGGACGCTTTAACCACTAAGCTACCCCACCGCCCCATGTTGCTTCGAAGTCAACGGAAGCTGGTGTCTTTTTAAGATCTCATTGAACAATTCTTTTATCTTGGGAGCTTTTGAATTATTTCTCCGAGCAATACCATTATCTACGCCTCAGGTTACTGTGAAACACATAACACAATATTGAAGACTATAACTTTCTGTTTCAACTGGACTCGTTGGGATACCTGTTAGAAATTTGTCCCCCAACAACCCCAGCTTGTCTGAAAATGGGGGCGGTAGTGTTACCTAGTGATTACAACATTCGCTCGTCACACCGAATTCCTTGGTTTGGAATTTTTGGAATTCCTCACATGGGCACAATGTGTACAGCCAATCTCTACTGTCCCCCACCTTGTTATTACTGGAAAATCGGCGTAAAACAACATTCACTCGCTTGTCGCTAAAAGTAGACTGAGCTGATCAGATGACTTCGTGGATTGCGTGTCACTGTAACCCGACGATGCGGACTGTTGGTTTGTGTGGCCCAGACTCGGATCATTTACTGACTGCTATCTTGAAGCTAGTCTGAATACTGGAATATTACTGCGAGTGGCCCTAAACATTAAACTCAGATGCTGTAGGTGTATAAGTATATGGTCATTCACTTACCGACATGTAACAGAAGGCAACTTACAAAGAAAACAAACAAAATCAGTAATTAAAAAAATTCTAAGGACAAAATATGTTCTAGGTAATGTAATAAACGCACACGCACACACACACACGATTATTTCGCCCGCAATTCATTTAAGAAATAACTTCAAACACACATTAAGGGAATCTGTAGTTTCGTCAAAAGGAAATCAATGAAACAAACAGAAACAAATAATGATAGAAGTAATAATACTCCCACTTTAAATTACATCCTATATATACACATGTGTGCAGTATGCAGTCAAAATGTTCACATAAATCTGTTTGTGAATTAGCTCCATGTGAAGCCACAAATCACGCTCGATATCAAGTGTACAGGCGAGTACCAACATCGTTTGTTTTTAACTGTTTGCACACAATTTTAGTCATCTCGGAGAAGGTAAGTCCAGAGAGGTGCAAGACTTTGGTGTATAGCACTTTGGTGAGACCCAGTAGTACAGGGAGACCCAGTAGTGCAGGGAGACCCACTAGTGCAGGGAGACCCAGTAGTGCAGGGAGACCCAGTAGTGCAGGGAGACCCAGTAGTGCAGGGAGACCCAGTAGTGCAGGGAGACCCGGTAGTACAGGGAGGCCCAGTAGTGCAGGGAGACCCGGTAGTACAGGGAGACCCCTCTAGTACAGGGAGACCCAGTAGTACAGGGTGACCCAGTAGTACAGGGATGGCGCCATCAAACCAAGGATCATAATCAAGACTACGAGATTCGAACCACTGGTCAAAGGATCCTACACACCTTGGTGAAACAAGTTTGATTTTCATGTTAATCTGGGATTCGAACCAATGATCAAAGGATCCTACACACCTTGGTGAAACAAGTTTGATTTTCTCGTTAATCTGGGATTCGAACCAATGATCAAAGGATCCTACACACCTTGGTGAAACAAGTTTGATTTTCATGTTAATCTGGGATTCGAACAAAGGATCAAAGGATCCTACACACCTTGGTGAAACAAGTTTGATTTTCATGTTAATCTGGGATTCGAACCAATGATCAAAGGATCCTACACACCTTGGTGAAACAAGTTTGATTTTCGCGTTAATCTGGGATTCGAACCAATGATCAAAGGATCCTTCACACCTTGGTGAAACTAGTTTGATTTTCGCGTTAATCTGGGATTCGAACCAATGATCAAAGGATCCTTGCACACCTTGGTGAAACAAGTTTGATTTTCTCGTTTATCTGGGATTCGAACCAATGATCAAAGGATCCTTGCACACCTTGGTGAAACAAGTTTGATTTTCTCGTTAATCTGGGATTCGAACCAATGATCAAAGGATCCTTGCACACCTTGGTGAAACAAGTTTGATTTTCGCGTTAATCTGGGATTCGAACCAATGATCAAAGGATCCTTGCACACCTTGGTGAAACAAGTTTGATTTTAGTAGTTCTATACTGACAACGTACGTGTAGCGACAGTCGATATCACGATAAACCTGTAAACACAAGATGCCTCGTATTCGAGAACGTAGGACACTCAAATTCATATAAACTGAGCATGATCAACCCTGTCAGGTAAAAACCGTACTTCCTCTAATACAGGTGTTATCAAAACCACGAACAGCGGCCGAGGCTCTCCTGTATGGATATACCATGTTAGTGGCTGTATCATGTACTTATTTTTGCATATTTAATGCATTTATGGCGTTTATGTATGCAGTTATGTGTACAGATTGCAAGGACGCACGCGTGTCTGTGTAAGGTAGGCCTCCTATTTTTGACGCAACGCAAATGAACTCGCATGAGGAATTCCCCTAATGACGTCATTCCTATAAGGTATTTCCCCAACACGTTGACAATCAGGTAAGGTTATTTTCTCATCTTTCGATAAAAATATGCGATTCCAATTGCAGACAGGCTGAGATATTATTTTAATGTGTTTCTGCGCCTGTCTGTGCATAACATATACAATAATATGACAAACCTTTGATAAATTTCATTCCCAGAACAAGCTACTTCAAGATGCTTCTAAAAGTCTCATGAAAAATAAAATTGCCCCAGATATTTCATGAGGCTCAATTTGGTTCACGTCAACAGAACCCTCAGAACTATGTTCCCCAGGGGAGTTAGCACTGCTCCAATTCTATATATGTGGAATTAGTAATGCCTGAGTGTATGAGAGAACAATGTTGGTATGAAAGTAAATATTTTCTACATACCTTTAGTTCAATATTTCGAAAACACATAACAGATTGATGTTATTTAATTCCCTAATAATTCCCTTATAAGACGATTATAGGCTCTTTCAAGTAATCTTTGTTGGTTTAAGGGATGTACCCACCATCTCCGTGTTCTGTTCTCCTCCTCATGCACAGAAACTGCCAGAGAAGCTCGGATTTTTCCTCCATCTTATATTCATCCGTCTTATATCGCAGATGACCGCACCTAGTGTATTGGAAAAAACGCACTCGGTAACGCATGCGTGAAAAAATGCGGACGTAGTGTAAATCCAGCCTAAGAGTAATTTGACCATGTTAACATTATGTTGTATTTTTACAGTGTAATGGTGTCTCGTTGAGGTCATTGAAGCATTAGAAGTTTGGGTCAAGTAATACAATATCTGCACAAATGCCTGCTCATAAATTTATGTCCAAGCAAAGTACACACATGGTAGCATCTATAGGGTAAATCCGGTAAAAAACGTAGGCATTTCTTCACCCATAAAGACGAAGTTAAAGTGGGGAGTTATTTACCCGCCTGGCTCATAGATCTGTAATGGTAGATAAAAGCAATGACTCAAATACTATCTGTGCGATTTACTGAGCCCGTACCCGGAAGTACCGTAAAACATAGCTCCGTGCGTGCAGTTCGTCGGATTAGGGTAGAATAGTCTCAGTACCCTCGATACCATGGAGTCGGACTACAAGATCGTCAGGGAGCTGGGGACGGGGGCGTTTGGAACAGTGTACCTCATCAAACACAAGACAGAACCGGAATGGGTATGTACTACTGTTACCAAAGTCTTGATTCTGATCCTTGGTTTGATGGCGCCATACCTGTACTACTGGGTCTCACCAAAGTGGTATACAGCAAAGTCTTGTACCTCTCTGGACTTGCCTTCTCCGAGATGACTAAAATTGTGTGCAAACAGTTAAAACCAAACGATGTTGGTACTCGCCTGTACACTTGATATTGAGCGTGATTTGTGGCTTCACATGGAGGTAAATCACCATCAGATTTATGTGAACATTTTGATTGCATACTGCACACATGTGTATATATAGGATGTAATTTAAAGAGGGAATATTATTACAACTATCATTATTTGTTTGTTTGTTTCATGGACTTCCTTTTGACGAAACTACAGGTTCTCTTAATGTGTTTGAAGTTATTTCTTAAATGAATTGCGGGCGAAATAATCGTGTGTGTGTGTGTGTGTGTGCGTGTGCGTGTGCGTGTGCGTTTATTACATTACCTAGAACATATTTTGTCCTTAGAATTTTGTATTTATGGTGCTTAATCGGGTGTCATTCGATAACTAATCAACGGATAGATGAAAGAAAATTATGTACACGTAGCTGAAGATGATTTCCAAGATGTGTGCAAAATATCAAAATAAAATGACTTCTACTCAATTTATGAAAATTATTCTTGCAACAGTTAATTAACATGTAAGTCTATCGAGATATCACTAATGATGACTCACTTATGGCCAACTACTGTATGAAGTGAACGTCGATACAAGCCACAGGCAGGTGTCAGACCCTCCATTACTCAAGTATATATCACAATACGTTGTTGAAGATCGGCATTGCGCCAACAAACTTGATAACGGAACATTGGGTAAGATACCCAGTCCGCTTGTCTGCCATTAGTTAAGTATAATTCACAAGGCGTTGTGTTGAAGATCGACACCGCGTCAACAAACTTGATCAGGAAACTTTGGTAACAGTAGTACATACCGTTGATTAGTTATCGAATGACACCCGATTAAGCACCATAAGTACAACTTAATTTTAATCTATCCCATAGACAGCCACGTCAAACCTGATTGGTATGTCTAATATTTGTTGTTTTAATAGTTGCAGTTTTCTTATAACCATAGGAAAATTGAATGGGAATTATGTGTATTTGCAGCTGGTAGATAAGTATTGAAAGTAATTCGACCCAAACTAAATTTATGAAAATTATTCTTGCAAGAGTTAATTAACATGCAGGTCAGTGGGAATTTCACAAATGATGACTCACTTATGGCCATATTCTGTACACTAACTGTGCATGTGTTTATTTTGCCATTGGAATAGAAAACCCTGTTTCTCATAAAATCTATAACTCCCATATGTTATATCCCGATTTGTATCTTTTGTGTAGTAAAGTGTTAAAATAGCTCGATTTCTTTGGCATGTCAAAAACGATTGAGAAATGCAGCGTCTGTTTTAAATTCGTTTTCCCTCAGAACGGATAATTGAAAAGAAATGCATTGTATTACCAATTATTTCTCATACGGACAATAACTATCTGACAGAAAGTATGACGTAAATGCTGGCAATGCTTTAAAATCCTGATTGGTTATACCTGTTGTCACGTGCCTTCGGAGCCCTGAAGAACTGACCTGGAACTGGGTGCCGTTGTACAGAGCGATCTTGGCGCTAAGGTGACTGTAACTCCCATACCTTAACACAGAATTAAGGTAACCTTAGCGCTAAGGTTGTTTTGTACAACGGCTCCCAGGTCTTTAGCAACCCATGCATGTCGTGATGATCCTGATGTCAGTCACTGGATTGTCTGGTTCAGACTCGATTAATTTCATATAATTGTTTGACGTTTTACGCGTTCTATAACTGTAATATTACTGAGTTCGGCGTTAATCAACAGACGAACACATTTGCCTTGATATTTGTGTGAGCACAACGTGTAATGGACATGTCCGCCCCTCTCGTCGTGACAGACAGTTCGATCATGCAGGTGCGGATATGAAGTTTCCATGACTTCGAGGCGAGGTGAGGTGAAATTGGGTTTTACGTCGTGCTTGAGAATATTTCGCTAATATGACGACGTGCATGCGTGTGTATGTGTATGTGGGGCTGCTTGTACTAGCCCAGACTTGCTGGTTTTATAGTGCTAGCCCACTGAGATACCATGCCGCAGTGAAGCATGAATACCCCATTCAGACACATTATACTGACTCCGAGCCGACCAGTCCTTGTTGTACCCATTAGTGCCGAGCGCCAGGCAGGGACCAACAAGTACCATATTTTAACGTCTTTTGGTATGATGCGGTCGGGGATCGAACCCGCGACCTTCCGCTCTCCGGGCGGACGCTCTAACCACTACACCACGGAGGCGGTCCCCATGACTTCGAGTCGAAGTAACAACATCCTAGATCTGTGTCCATGGTGATAGCGTCTGCTCTCTTGTTATGCAAAGAATATATGCCCTTGACTGATTGAACGGATTGAATTTGAATACCTGGCTTCGATCCCCCTTCCCATTTCTGCTGTCTCCTGCCGTTATATTGCTGGATTGGTGCATACAACGGCATAAAACAACATTGACTCACTGTTTGGGGTGTTGTGGTCGGCCACACATGCACCAGTGCCAAGAGAGAACCTACAAATGAAAATCAATGCTGTGGAATGTGTACACGCTTGAAATAGAAATAGCAACATACATTCCAAACAGGACACAATTCCCATGAAGTGATCGTCGAATGCCTGCTGTACGGTGATCTGCTACTGGCCTCTTTGTCATGGTTGACTGGACGCGTGAAAGTGGGAACACACACACACACACACACACACACCCCCTTCGGTTGACATATCAGTGTATCTCCCGGCAGTGCTGTAGCGATGCATCGAACTATCGATAGATTGCAATTGTTGCGGCTCCGAAAGCAATTAATCGATGGTAGAAACGAAAAACTATCGATGCATTGATAGTTTCTGTGACTATCGATACCTTAGTAATTGACTTCCGTTGATAAATGCGCAGCGCCAAATACAGGAAATTCACTTTGATTTGGAGTGATCTGCCCCTGTTACCTCTTAAACAAACATGGCGGCAAACACGGCATGTGACTAGGAGTTCGAAATTGTGAATAACAATAAGTTTATGTTTTAAGTGTTAACTTGATCTGTGCTTCAAGTTTCTTGTCAGTTATTAAAAGAGACCGAAATTACTTCAACTTGTTTTAATTTCATATAAACTATACATTCATTTGAGAAATGACTCCAAGTGAGACAATTCAAGGAGAAAATAGTTGGTCGCAATAGTATAAGATAAGATAAGATAAGATAAGATAAAATAATACTTTATTACCCAAGGAGGGAATTTTGTGTACAGCAGAGGTATATGACATGTTAAAACAGAGAGTACAATACAAACAGACATACAAACCATGGGCGGATCCAGGAATTGTGAAAGGTGTGTGTGTGTGTGTGTGTGTGTGTGTGTGTGTGTGTGTGTGTGTGTGTGTGTGTGTGTGTGTGTGTGTGTGTGTGTGAGGGGGTTAAAACCCCTGAACCCCATTGGCTCCGTCAACGCAAAAAAATCTTCAATGTGGTCTTAAGTCATTTTCAAAAAAGAGGGGTGGTGGTTCGGACCCCTTCTGGATCCACCAATGCAAACATAAGCAATAATTAAACACATGCTATGTTATGTTTCAACAGACTATCGCTATCACAATAGTTGTTTCCCTTCAGTACTCATGATCACCCCTATCTCCCGGTGTTCGTGTTTCATGCTGGTGCAGTGTGTGTGTCAACACAACAGGTACATAGTAGTTATTCTCAGTTATGTGGACATGTTGTCCAGACACAAGTGAATGTTTATCCCTACAATCTCTACTTACGTTCGATTCCAAAGCCCCGGACGACCCTGCATGGTGAACCGCCGCACTAGATATCAACCAAAATAAGGTCATCTTTTGTGTGTTTTTTTATCTTCAATCTCGAGAGCTGGCTGGCGAAAAATATAATTCGAACATATTCTAAAAAATGTCACTAACTGTGCAACTTATTTTTTGAAATTAAGAAATTTTAGATCACTTGGTAATAACCATTAAATTAATTTATGATGTAATTCAATTGCATTGGTTGGGAATAAAAAATGGTTAACAGTAGTAAACACGTATAAATATATGTATACCTAAATGGGTGATGGTAGTATAAATGCGTACACATTCTGATTCTCGTCTGAGAAATTGAACATCCGATTGTTGACATAAATATTATAAATTTAGCATCAATAAACCATATCATACATCAAACTTTTATGATTTCGCAACTCTGTGTGACGTTGAATTCACATGTATTTAAAAAAAAGATACGACAGCTTCACTCAGTTGTGTGTTACAACCATACACTGTTGTACTCCTCCTTCAACAAGCAGTCGTGTTGGATTTCACTATCGGGCAAAAGTATACACCCGATTTGGAGTTAATGCTGAAACGCACGTAGCTATGCTTTATCTATGCCACGAGTGTCTTAAACAATCCTGTTTGGGTAAACACGATCCTGACTGTGTGGCACACTCTGCAATATACTGGTATACGAGGCCATGACACAATAAAATCATGGCGAATGTGGGATTCGAACCCAGAATCAAAGGTTTCGGACACGCCCAAGGGACGCAGACTATGTTGGCTGTCCAGACAAACTGAGACGAAAGGGCCGCCTTTGTCCCAAGTGCGGATGTGAAGAAGCCATGTAAGAAGTGAAGCAATCCCCAAGTGCAGGAAAACATGACTTTAATCACGATCTAATGGCCACTTTGTGAACATATCACCAGTGATATAACGACCAGGTATGACTCATGTACGTAAGAAAACAACACCCTCCCCTAACCAATAGAAATAAAACACACAAACCCCTGCATGCGCCCCCGGAAACAGCACGTCGATGTAAGTTGCTGAAAAAGCAGCCTTTGCAATTGTCACTCAATAGCTACCTTTAGCCCCAAAGTATTGTAATTGTCACATTGTTAACCAGTGCCTCATGATCAGTCGCTCATAAAGACATTATTTTCCCTATCGTCAGTTCGCCCTGAAAACTGTGGATTTGTCAAGAGCAGACTCAAAAGAGAGGGCCAGTGCCGAGAGGGAGGCCAATCTGATGCGAGAGCTGGACCATGATCACGTGGTGCGGTACGTGGCGTCCACCTTTAACGGGTCCACCCTATTCATCTTCACGGAGTACTGCGAGGGCGGGGATCTGTCACACTTCCTGGAAGACTCCAATGGGAAACTGCCTGAAGACTTGATCGTGTGTTGGGTGTATCAGACGGCTTCAGCATTAGCGGTGAGTGGACGAGTGTGCTTTTTAGCTACTGTATATCTCTGCGAAATACTCATGTAGGTAATCGAACCAGGGCCTTCGGCATGATCAACAGACGCTGAAATCCACCCCCACCTTCCTGGCATAATGCATCTGGAGTGATGTGGATATTTATATGATTATTAACTGAGTTCAGAGGAGAGGACTGAGTTAGGTTTTGTGAAAACTTACAACCACTTCTCTGCCACTGATACTTTTTATTCATGGGTTATAGAACTCCCAGAATTTACAATTACTTATCGTGTGCCGGGAAACTATGTTGCAGTACTTGCATCAGATGAAGATCCTACACAGAGATCTGAAACCCCAAAACATCTACCTCACTGCTGAGGGGGACATCAAACTGGGGGACCTCGGTATTGCAAGGTATGAATACAATGTACTTCGAACACTCTTGATGTCTGGAAACAATACATTTAGGATTGCATGGCACACCTATGATACAGTATACGCGGGGCTGGTGTTGGAAGTCGATTCAGCACAAGAACGTTGACAAAACAGTGAACATTCTCATTGTAGGGTCCTCGATAAAGGAATGGGCATGGCGTTAACAATGGCAGGAACCCCGTTCTACATGAGTCCCGAGATATTCCAGATGAAAGGATACGACCACAAGGTAGCTCTCTTCCTTAACTTTATATACAACTTGTGACGTCAAACTATTGTTTTGTAGGGCCCTGGTTTCGCGGGATAGCTTTTCAGCAGGCACTTTCAACTGAATGTACCTCTGTCCCTGGGTTTTTCAGCAGAATATACCTCTGTATAGGGTCTTTCAGCAGAATATACCTCTGTCCAGGGTCTTTCAGCAGGATATACCTCTGTCCCAGGGTCTTTCAGCAGAATATACCTCTGTCCCAGGGTCTTTCAGCAGAACATACCTCTGTCCCTGGGGTCTTTCAGCAGAATATACCTCTGTCCTTGGGGTCTTTCTGCAAAATATACCTCTGTCCCAGGGTCCTGGGATCAGTTTGTTCCCGGGACTTTTAACAGAATATTATGTTTCTCTGTCACTGAAAACAATATTTATTTGGTCGTAGGTTACAACTCCGAAAAAACACATGTAAAACAAATTAACAAAAGCAACAGTAAAAATGAAAGGTGAAAATCTAACAAAGAAATATGCATATTTGAAGATATGCTGTAGGTCCTGCTAAAAATGTTCGGCTCTTCCAAACCATTTGGCAAGTCCCTTATCTTCACACTTTTATTTCAGACCGACATCTGGAGTTTCGGGTGTGTGGTGTACGAGATCGCGGCAGGAGAACATGCTTTCAGCGCCCCAGATATGTCATGCCTCGTTTTTGCAATCGTCTCTGGCAAAGTAGGTAAACTGTATTAACAGTAAACCAAAATGATAAACATTTTAAACCGTTTCCAGAACACCAGGAAGAATAAATGTCATCGTTCCTCTGTCATAGGTTCCTTTGATACATACATCTTACAGTGATGGGCTGCGTCAACTGGTGAAGTCGATGATGGACAAGGACCCGGATGAACGACCAAGTGCTGAACAGCTGCTAGACCGTAGACCAGTCAAGGAATTCGGAAACAACACTCAAAGTGTATGTACACATACGATTGTCTGCAAACTGGGCAGATACAAAAGTGCCAAGTTTACGCTGGCGACCGAAGTGTCTCTAGGAGCGCCACTTACCATGGCTGTGCAGTGTTGCAAGAAGTCTATGATCAAGGATTCGAAACCCTGAAAATTCTTCTTGCTTTGTCAGCATCATATTGCCAATTTGGAAAGCATATAAGACCTTGACAAGCGAACGCTTTAACCTCTATGCTACCCTACTGCTCACTCTCCTATTTTCAGCCCATGATAATTATGAAGAAATTCAAGTTCAGGACCAAGTGGGGAACACATGACTCAAGTGTAGACGTTTCCAAGATGTTCACGACGGCAGAGCTGAACCCTCCTCCATGCTTCGGAGAACATGATATTCGCATTCTAAAGACTCTACTGCTGCACAGGAAGAGGTTGGGCCGACCTTCGCCCTCGGATATCAGCGAAACTGTCAAAGCGAACAAATACCTTCCTGCGATGAGGGTTAAGGAGGAGGCGATTGAGCTGAACCTGAAGGAGGACCCAAGCCATGCAGCCGTCATGGAGTCAGTGATGCGGGGATTGATGGGTGTGATGGTTGATTCTCAGGATGTGAGTGTTCATACTATGTAGAGACAATAATAATGTAGAGCGGTCTAATCAAAACTAGTGGTCAGGGTCCCCATCCACAAGGCGTTCGTAACGTTCGAATGGCCTAGTTTGTACGTGTACTTCTTCAGTATCACGTTCAACAAACGAGCGTAGCGCTGTCAGTGTTAAAGTATGATAGTTACGATCACCTTAGCGATACGATCGCTTTATGGAACGGGCACCTGCTCTCCATTGGTTGTCTATGTTAAGGTCGCATGCAGATTCCGATACCTTTCGGTATGGACTTACCGAAACAAATCGTCAAAAATGCAAATTCAACTTATAAAGTTGAAAAATAACGCGATGAAAAAAACCGCGCGAAATCGGAGTTCAAACGTTTCACTAATTTTCCCCCGACTTTTCTGGGGAAAACTGGTTTCAACAGCTGGGCTGCGCTCATAGCACGTGCGCAGTGAAATAGGTTCGCGCAACTTGGAAGCGGGCTGTCCGGTGAATACTCGGCGAAGGCTTTGGTGTGAGCTATTTTTCTAATGTTTTGTTGATATCTCACAGGCGCGAGCTTTTTATATGTTATGACAGTAAATTAACTGTTTATATAATTTCATTTGTCTGTTTCACCACACGTTCTTCTTACCGAGTCACTTTCTCAGTTCGATACTTAAAAGCAATGTCATTATTTAGCGTTGACAGAATTTCTAACTGTGATATAGATATGTCGTTGTCACAGACAAAACTCAATGTCTTGTTTTATTGACACCTGTGTGTCTGCCTGCCTGCCTGTCTGCTAATGACAATATTCAATACACAGCTGCTATCACTGACCACATGCAATTTGAACTTAACACCAATCAGGCTATACACCATAAACAAAATGCATTGATTTATGGCCCGAGTTCGGTCTCTGTCACATTATGTAATTACACAGACAGACAGGTGTGATACTTGAACACATGACATGTTATGATGTCTGTTGATTGTAAAATGTTATACACAAACAATGAGCATGTATTTACAAAACCCAACATCTCTATATGTACACACACAATGAGCCGTCAGGGCATCTGCAGTAAATGAACCAGCCGTTACACTTGAGTGCACCCTCACCCGCTCTGACTGGGTTCGGTATCCCGGCTGCTTCGTTTCTTGGGAAGTAAAACCCAAGTACACAATTTTGCAATTTTGATTTGCGATTGTACGGTTATAATTTTGTTTATATGTTTTTTCATAACCAGCAATGTATATTATATGTCATGAATAAGTGATAATTGTGTTTCAATTATGTTTGATTTTTTGGTTGCATGTGACCTTTAAAGTATGGTAGTTACGACCACCTTAGCGATACGATCGCTTTATGGAATAGACACCTGCTCTCCATTGCTTGTCTATGTTAAAGTATGGCAGTTACGACCACGTTAGCGATACGATCGCTTTATGGAACGGGCACCTGCTCTCCATTGCTTGTCTATGTTAAGGTATGGCAGTTACGACCACGTTAGCGATACGATCGCTTTATGGAATGGACACCTGCTCTCCATTTCTTGTCTATGTTAAAGTATGGCAGTTACGACCACGTTAGCGATACGATCGCTTTATGGAATAGACACCTGCTCTCCATTTCTTGTCTATGTTAAAGTATGGCAGTTACAACCACCTTAGCGATACGATCGCTTTATGGAATGGCCTCCTGCACTCCATTGCTGATCGTAAGAGAGACCTGCTGATTGATGCAATACCGCGGATTGCTGTTCAAGGTTTGCTTGATACGATTAAGTAGCTCATTCATTTATTCATTCATTATCAGAAGCTAGTGAGTGTCATGTAGGTGATTATCCCTAATATAGTTGGTGTATATTTCAGCGCACCCTCAAAGCTTCAGCCATCTTGCCGGCTTTGGACATTGATCGTACAGGAGGCCAGGGGTCATCTACTGAGAAAGGTCTGCAGCATAGCATATTTACAGCTCTACGAAATATACGTAGTAAGACGAGGCCGATGGAAAATCCCACCTACGTGCCTTTCGAGAGTAAATACACTGATAAACGTTCTGTCGTCTGGATTTTTGAAAAATACAAAATAATACTTTTGGAAAAATTGACCCATATTTACAGAAATTAGAGTTCATTGGACATGGATGGCCTAAACATATTTTGGTTCCTAGTTTAAGGAACAAAAATGTATATTTCAAAGCTGAGATTGAAGAGAAATACACCGAGGAAACAAATAAGGGAACACCACTTCATGGCATCTTTTTGATGCTCGGATTTTCTCCCACAGCGCTATTCAAAAGCTGGTGATGAAAACTGGACAATATTTAAGACACGCCTGAAGTTTCCTGTGTTCCTTTGCTTGTTTCTCTCAGCATATTTGTCCTTCACAAATAGTAGAGCCTGTGGAACCATCGATACCTTATGTTGTTAGTTCATATTATTCATATCTTGAACGTACGCTGTCCCAGCAAGGGCTAGAACATGGGCTCCTGCTGTCTGTCATTCATTTGTCAAGGGTTTCTTCGTCATGTCACCGAAAATCTTACTCTAATATGGATTATACTTTACTTAATAATTCATCAATTCAATACCGATGAAAATGATATTTTCATTTTTATAACATAAAAGAGATACAGAACTATATGTATATATGTGTTATACAATAAATATGAAGTTGCCATCTATATACTTGTCTTATATATTCTCCATCTTCTAAATGCCTCTCAAGAATCTAATATAGAACTATCATTCAAATTACTCTAAAAGGAAGAAGTCATATGTGATGGAGAATTCATCTTTTTTATTTACAATTTCAGCAATAGATGCCGAATTTATCTTGAACCAGATACAGGTTTTACAGACGTGAGTCTTACCACTGTAGTTCTTTATCCAAATATGTGACTATTAGGAACCCATTTCATTTGGGATTCTAGAGAAGAAGATCCATCGTTCATGAAATTACACATGCCACGTAACATCATTTGAACAATAGATGCATGTACGTGCTGTATCACATAGCAGTGGACGGAATGAAAGTAATACTTCCTGGCACCCAGCCACTCGTAATATCTTATTTCCTATTCAAGAACATTCTCGTTAATTGAAATCGTTTTGTAGATTAATTGGAAATAAGATACGATGTAATCGTGACCAGGGCTGTAGTTATGTTTTGTAGTGCGTGCGTGCGTGTGTGCGTGCGTGCGTGCGTGCATGTTAGTGTTGGTGGGTCGGGGTCTGGGTAGGCAAAGTTGTAAGAGTAGCTGGGTTGACACTAGGCTGACCCTATTGAGACAGCCTCCTTTAGCAACACCATTCATTATAGACTGCTTAAACACTGAAAATCGGGGCTGTGTGGTAGCGTTCGCTCGTCACGCCGAAGGTAGGGGTGCGATTCCCTATATGTGTAAAATCTGTGAAGGCCATTTGTGCTGTCCCTCGCCGTTATAATTGCTGGGATATTTCTAAAAGCGGCGCAAAACCATGCTCACTCACTGAAAATCAGAGAAATGAAATGATCCATTGCTGATAGTGAATATGATCTCTAATGCTTTGTATTTGAACAGAGACTGTGCTAAGGGACTGGGAGAGGACAAATTCAGGCGGGCTTACTCCATCCTGGATTCCGTTCAAGATGCAGAGAAACTGAAGGTAGAGACAGAACAACGTAAACAGGGTACACTGTAGAATGTTTCGACGAACTGGACACACAACGAATAATAATGTTATGCAATAGTTTCAATGTAATTCCTTTGTAAAACTGCTCAATATGTTATTGATTTGAATGCAAACGCAACAAAGAACTAAATAAAACTCAAGACTACACAAGTATGTTGAGAAATAGTATTTGCTTAGTCAGAGGTCAATACGGATCCATGTTATGAAGAAATAGTTTTCGCTCACAAAACCCAATACGATCAAAACAACAAAATGTCAAAAAGGAATAGTGAGCCTCATAAGTATATATGTTTCGATATTAGAAGGTCGGTTGTCGTTTAACGCCACACTTAGCAATATTCCAGCTATATGGCGGCGATCTGAAAATAATGGAGTCTGGACCAGACAATCCAGTGATCAACAGCATAACCTACACAAGCTTGGATACGATGACATGTGTCAACCAAATCAGCGCGCCTGACCAGCCGATCCCGTTAGTGACCTCTTACGACAAGCATGGGTTGTTGAAGACCAATTCTTACCCGGATCTTTGGGGTTTTCGAATTTCGAATTTCGAGTAAGAATATGATAATGAGTATTGATATATGCACCATAGTATGTCGTGTTCATCCTGTAAAATATATATTCCCGGTCGAATATAACAGGCCGAAATATGAAATGATTCAGATTAGAACAGATGGCTGCAATGTGGACAGATTTAGCCTCTTGATTTAAGTGTAAGTACAATCTTTAAACATGATGTGTAGGTATACTCTCCGTGACATAGTACAACTACGTAAGGTTTGTTTCACATCATTGATACTTTCTCTCTTGCAGGGACGTCTCGTTGGCCTGATCGGAGAGGACATGTTCCGGGAATACAGCGAGAAGATAATGTGCTTGCGTATGTTTGAAAACGGATTACAAAACGTGGGATCTCAGAAACGATAATAACTCCACATAGAAGTAACTCAGAACTTGATGCAACAGAGATCCGGGGAATAACGTTATTAACATAGCAAAGTAACGCGGATCCCGGGCAGTACACTGTGGTAGATCCTTCGCGTACGGGTTTGCTGCTGATCGAGGGTGATAATCTGGGCAAATTTCATATCACGCTACCCGTTATTAACCTACGCACTATTTGTTGACATGTAAACTGAGGTTTTGAAGCAATATAATGCTACGAACAGTAACTCATAGATTCATCTTATCTAAGATTCATTCAAGTGCGTGGCATATTCACACACATAACTGCGTCTTGATCATTTGTGACATGTCCCCCTCTTTGACGGCCCCAAAAGCGTGAAAAGATGGAATTTGTTGTTACCGCGCCTGACAATCAGCATCACGCAGCTTTTCTGAGACCATCTTTGATATCTCTTTAATAAGTGGTGTCCGAAAATCGAGATATGTAAAACCAAAATTTTGAAAGATCGAAGCTTAAAATATGGATGCACTGATCTCTGTGTATCTGTAGCGAAACTAAGATGCATTTTAATGAGAATAGACAAGCCTAAATTTCATCAACAAACGACTCAAATGCGATGCTAAACAATTTACGACAAAGAAACTACAACATGATAACTGATACCCTGAATCCAACCCCGAGCACGTCTGTGGGAGAGCGCAGTGTTGGGGAAGATAGAGATATCAGGCCGCGTAATTCATAAAGACGTGAAAGATGATATTTGTTATCAGGCACAAAGTCGGCTCGGAGTCAGCACAATGTGTCTGAGTGTGAGCGTTGAGATGCGGCATGGTATGTCCTGGGCCGATCACTTTGCAGCACAGCCGAGCCCAGCACGCACGCATACGTTTATACGGCCCTTTTTACCTGAATGGGTTTAAGTATATTGAAATTCATTCGTCTGAGCGGCATGTCACCACGTGACGCCTGTATCGTACACACTGCTTCTCACCTGAATAGGGAAGCGCATCATATTACCACTGAGTGTTGACTAGAGTTGTCACTGCATTGTTTGAGGAACGATATAACCTTAGGAACGTTTAAATACCTTTATCAATGAGCAAACGACCATATCGATGAATTGTTATGATATGAATTGAGCGAAATATACACAGTAAAGTGTTGTTGGATCGTTGGCAAAACTGTTATAGTAGGATAGTGTAATGTCCTTTATGTCACACCTTTCTTTTTGTTATTCCGTCCCAGTGAGTACATACTGTAAATGATATTAAGTATATCAAAATAAAATATAATAATAAAGTATATCAAAGTAATTTTTCCTTTCTGTTTTTTTTTTGTCAGTAGGTCATGACAATAAACCCGCTAATATCCAGGTTAGAAATTATCTTCAGTAACCCATGGTTCTCGTATAAGGCGACAAACTGGATCGGGTAGGTCTGGCTCGCTGACTTGGTTGACACATGTCATCGTATCTCAGATCGTAGATCGATGCTCATATTGTTGATCACTGGATTGTCTGGCCCAGACTCGATTATTTACTGACCGCCGTCGTATAAGTGGAATATTACTGCAGAGTGCGGCGTAAGGCAACAAACAAAAAATCCGGCATCCCCACAGCGCTGTATGTTGCACAAACGAGCATAAAATCTGAAAAACTAACGCAGACATATGGTTACAGACATTAGATTTTGTGTAATCTTTATATGCTCAACAGCAAACATGACTAAGTGAGTTTGGTTTTACGCTGCTTTAAGCAATATTCCAGCAATATCACGGCGGGGGACACCAGAAATGGGCTTCACACATTGTACCCATGTGGGACCCGGGTCTTCGGCGTGACGAGCGAACGCTTTAACCACTAGGCTACCCCACCGCCCCCCAACGTGACTGAATACGCACACGTCGTTACATAGCTACAACAATATCGAACTGGAATTTAAACTCCATAGTCTGACCTATGATATCGAACGGGGGAGCTGTTTGTAGCGCAACCTTTGATACAAATAGCAGTTCAGGCATGCCTGGGGTGTCAGGTAACACGAGAAGAGAGTCCGATCTGTGACGAATCTCTGACATATTTCTGGAAACCAACGAGCAAGAATATGGAAGATGATACTATATGCGAAAACTGTGATTCGAGCTCATGTTCATTAGACCTTGACACGCTTTATAGGAGCGCAACTAGGCACAACGATCTACAGCGTCTTAGGGTTAGCTCCCGGTCTTGATAGTAATTGATATGAATGAGGCCTTGTGAATTATGAAGTAGCTTGAAAAGTCACCTAAAGCCTCATAATCATATTTATTTCTATAATCTGTCCAACATCCGTGTAGGTATATGCTTTGTTGTTTAATGCAACATGCCAGCTACATCGCGTCGATCTGTAAATAATTGAGTCTGGACCAGACAATCCAGTGATCAACAGAATGAATTTTTCTACGCAGTTGGGATACTATGCCGTGTCAATTAGGTCAGCCACCCTGACCACCCGATCCCGTTAGTCGCCTCTTACAACAAACCAGACCAATTCTAACCCGTATCTTCACAGGCATGTGCCCGAACCAAGATAGTACAGAAGGGTTACTCATCGTGTCACAACGTGCAAGTCAGAACTTGGATACACAGCATTTACCTCAAATGGCATGTGAATTCAGTATTCAGCTGTGACTGTGAGTGTCACAATGTGCAAAAAATTGACTAGTTATACGACACCTCAGCTAAACATCATGCCAATTCAATATTCAGCTATAAGTGTGTCATAATGTGCAAAAAACAAAATTTGATTTTTACAATCCAACAGATAAGTCAATTCCACTCTCACTTAAAAAGTGTGTCACCATGTGACATCAATGTCAGGTCAATAATTCAACTCCAACCCGGAAGTCACAAAGCGAAAGTAGCGACAACTGAGAGGAGCTTGGGGTTTTCCGTACAGTAATATCACTGCGACGCAAAACTGTCATGGAGTCCGATTACAAGATCGTCAGGGAGCTGGGAAAGGGAGCGTTTGGGACAGTTTACCTCATCAAACACAAGAGAGAAGCGGAATGGGTAATGCATAGTTGTAGCTCACTGTCCCACGTTCACCTTTGTGATTCACGAAGCCTACTGTAGACAGGGTGTAAATACTCGTACTGGATAGGAGGTTATCTATCGTTATAAGCATTCATTCTGTTCACTGTATATGTCATATTAAGTTAGTTGCCTGTTGCCTCCTTGAAGACACTGACATCATTACAAACGGTTTTTGTGCATGTTGGAGAGCTGTACGATAGTGTATCTGTTGTAGTTAACTGAGGCATGGAAACCAGAGTGTTTGTTGTGTAGCACTGAAATCGAGACCCTCTAAAAGTGTTAGGTCAGCCCACCAGATTCAGTAAACATTGACGTGCTACCGTCTTGCTGTACGACTCCACGTTCCCAAAGTATCGAACCGGACACGACTCGGTTACTTCCCCAACAAACAGTAGTAAACAAGAGGCATATAGCTGGAATATTGTTCCTGCTGTTACTACTACTACTACTACTACCGCTGCTGCTGCTGCTGCTACTACTACTACTGCTGTTACTACTACTACTGCTGCTACTACAACTCACTTACTCATTAACTTTTGCACAAATGCTTGTCGAGTTAAGATTTGGAATATGTTTTTATGTGAACTGTGTATATTGATCAGTTTTTAATATTTTAAAGATATTATTACAATATATACCGCCCAGGAAGCTGAGAATGAAGATCGAGTGCACACCCACCTGCTGACCGGGCGTCTATTGTGAGCTCTTTGAGCACGCATCTTGTGTATGGAGTCAAAGTATACACATTATTATGTTACAGACGAAAATGTGTGAATGTAGCAAAGAATGTGAACCTTGCAGTCAGGCAGGTTAACTTCATCATCAGTTCATGGCCCTTGTCGCTTCCACGCATTATCCAGACAGCCAATGGGACCTCACCCATGAAGCTGCTGCCTCTTCGAATCCACCATAAACGTTCCAGCAAATATGCAGTCTCCCCAACACTGCAGCCTTCTACATTAATCAGAGTTGTAAAAAATTGTCATTTTCCACCACGCCCTCTGCATATTCTGGATAGATCTAGAAGTCAAAGCCAAACACGATGTTGAATGAAGGGATGAAGTCACTCATGATACTGCGTTTGAGCCAATTCTGGACACCCACATACAATGTGGAACAGTCTCGTTATATTCATTGCATAGTCTGTATTTCCTATTTCGAAATACATTTGACGTATGGTGACTACCCAACACTGCAGCCTTCTGCATTACCCAGTGCTGTGCTCCCGGCGGAGAACCCAACGTTCTCCTCATCTGCACAAAGAGATCGTGAGGTGCCAAACCAAGGGCATGTGCTAAAGCACATCATTACTGCTATCATTATTATTTCTATTCGTTTTGAATGGTGTCTGGGCCGGGCAATCCAGTGGTTGACACCATAAGTATCGATGAAGGCAATTGGTTACTGTGACAGGCCTCAATCAAGTCACCGAGCCTGACCACCAGACAAGGGCAGGTTGCTGAAGATCAATTCTAACCCGGGTCTTCATACATATGTTCTGCCTTGGTGAATGTACGCCTCATCAATATTTCGCAACCTTGCTTATCAATTTCTTAAAAACGAAACTTTCATATGTATGATAGCCATTTGAGAAATAGATTGTTACAAGCTTCCTTGTCATCTGTGTTATCACACACAGCTTAATGAGTATTCTTTTATTTGAGGCTGGAGTCGTCTGTACTTATATATAGCGCGAAACGACCGGGGTGGTGACATTGCAAAATCAACCAGTTTGTCAGTGTTTGTGTAGTATGGGGGGCGATGGGGGTAGCATAGTGGTTAAAACGTTTGCTCGTTACGCTAAAGACCCGGGTTCGATTCCCCACATCGGTACAATGTGTGGAGCCCATTTCTGGAGTCTCTCGCCGTTAAATTGCTGGAATATTGCTAAAAGCGGCGTAAAACTAAACTCGCTCGCTCGTGTATTATCGTATTTCGTTGATGTCCGTGGATCACTTGTTACCATGCTATCCACATCGCCTTACCTGCCAAGGGCAAGGTTTACAGGTATACCAAATTTATTGGCCGATCCGGGTTAGAATTGATCTTCAGTAGCCCATTCTTGTCGTACGAGGCGACAAATGGGATCGGGTGGTCAGGTTCGCCGACATGGTTGACACATGTCATTGTATCTCAGTTCCGTAGATCGATGCTCATGCTGTTGATAACTGGATTGTCTGGTCTAGACTTGATTATTTACAGATCTGTAAATCTGTAATATTGCTTATTGCTGGAATATTAACTCACTCACCAATTAATTGTTGATTTTATTGCTTTTCATACACCAGTTCGCCTTGAAAACTGTGGATTTGTCAAGAGCCGACGCCAAAGAGAGGGCCAGTGCCGAGAAAGAGGCCAATCTGATGCGAGAGCTGGACCATGATCACGTGGTGCGGTACGTGGCTTCCACCTTTAACGGGTCCACCCTGTTCATCTTCACGGAGTACTGCGAGGGCGGGGATCTGTCACACTTCCTGGAAGACACCAGTGGGAAACTGCCTGAAGACTTGATTGTGTGTTGGGTGTATCAAACCGCGGAGGCTTTGAAGGTGAAATAAACTTTAAACAACGAAGTTTAGTAACTCATTTGAACCAGTTTACAGAAACTTCTAGACAATATTCCACTTATACTGTTTCTGGAAGGTTATTACACAAACACACATATATCTTACGATGCACATTCTGAAAACCCTTTAATATCGGATTTAGGTACATCTGTGCATATCGAGGCAGACCATGAGGATCTTAGTTAGTAAAAGCACATTGCCAAAAACAGTATTTACGGTTTTAGTGCAATCAGGGGATTGCATGTGTACGGGACCCACTGTCTCTCATAAACGTCTTAAATGCTGAGGACACACATCAAGCTGAAAAATATTGTAATTGGTCATATTCCGTGAGAGAAGAGTAAACTTAGGGTCATTAAACTTTTCGTGTGCACCCCCCTCATATGAACAATACAATTCTCGACTCTAAATCCCTGGACTGAATTATGTTTTTTATAATTTTATTACCAATGATTTTTTTCCATTATTGGGGTATTACAGTAAGAGTGATATATGTGTCTATGTTGCAGTACCTCCACCACAGGAAGATCCTGCACAGAGACCTAAAACCCCAGAACATCTACCTGAGTGGGGAGGGGGACATCAAACTGGGGGACCTGGGTATTGCAAGGTGAATATAAACTAGTTATTGAGACAAGGTCTACTCTTCTAGGAAATCCACACTATCACACCGTTTCATGACTTGCTGTTATATAAATTCCAAAATAGGAATCAGTAGAGCTGACTGTTCTCTTGCAGGATTCTGGACAAAGGCGCTGACATGGCGTCTACAATGGCCGGAACTCCCTGCTACATGAGTCCTGAGATATTCCAGATGAAGGGCTACAATCACAAGGTATAGTCACTGCCATAACTTTCCCATCATAGTAAACAAAATAACCTCACGGACAGGGAATGCTTGTCAAGGATATCTGATTCTAAACCACCTGTCTTTCTTAAGAGGTTAAAGAGTTCTGACGTTGTCTTCGGTCTTTCCGTACATTGTATGAACATTTTTCATAAAGAACTCCAAAACTAGGAATCGGAAATGAAAGATTGATCATGGATCGAAGTAAAATGGAAACAAAGGTGCCCGGCCACTGCCACTTCAGAACAAATACAGATAGATATCACGATATCAAATAGATTGTGACAGTGTAAAATATTCCGGACTTCTGTGTACCCGGTACCCGGTACATTCAACCATGTAATGCTAAATCTAGCACGGAATGTAATGTAATGTTAGGTAATGTACGTGTTTTGAGCTGTTCAAGCTTTGTATGCTACCAATAAATGAATTCAGTGAAAGTAAGTCGCCGTGCTGTCCATGTTTATTCCGTTGAATATATGATAGCTTAGGTTAATACCTTAGGTTAATGCCCAATATTATTTACCTCAATAACTTAGTATACCCAGCATTTATACCTTGATTACATAGGTTGATACCAACCACTATGTACCTTAAAGGGGAACTGTACACGAATAAATCACATTTATTCTTCTGTGAATCAAAGTGAACTGTTTTAATTAGTTAATACCAATGTTTGAAAATATACACTCATTTTTCTTTCAATGTAAGTATAACCCTCAAAATAAGTGCTGAAATGTTATGCCAATATGAAGCCTTTGTTTGCCGAGCTAAACAGGCCAGAGTTACCGCCCTTTGATTATGACGTAATTGGTGCCACTTGATTTTATACTGGTCTACTGTCTAGTCCCAAATCAAAAGATAATAATACTGATTTTAATCAAGTGAAAAAAGTTTGATACAAACCACTATGTACCTTAATAGCTTAGAATTAGGTTAATAACAAGTATCTTGATAGCTTAGATTGTAAACATGGTTTACCTTGATAGCTCAGGTCAATAACCACCATGATAGCTTAGGTAAAAAGTAAACATTGGTAGCTTGGGTTAATACTAAATATGGTTTACCTTGATAGCTCAGGTCAATAACCACCATGGTGTACCTTGATAGCTTGGGTTAATACCCATAATTATGTATCATAATACCTTAGGTTAATACCCAACATGATGTACCTTGATAGCTTGTGTTAATACCCACCCGTGAAGATACGGGTTAGAATTGCTTTTCAGTAACCCATAAGAGGCGACTAACGGGATCGGGTGGTCAGGCTCGCTAAGTGGGTTCACACATTTCATTGTATGCCAGTTGTATAGATCGAAGCTCATTTTTGTTGATCACTGGATTGTGTGGTCAAGACTCGATTATTTACAGTCCGCCGCCACATAGCTGAAATATTGCTCAGTGCGGCGTACAATTAAACTCACTAACTTGGTTAATACCCATGGTGATAGCTTAGGTTAAAAGTAAACATGGTGTACCTCGATAACTTATGTTAATACCCACCATACTCACTCGATGTTCAGGGTGTTGATCACTCGATTGTCTGTCGATTATATATTTACAGACATCAGTCATATAGCTGGAATATTGCTGATTGCGACCTTAAACAACCAATAAACCAACATACAATACACTTATGTTAATACCCACCATTGTGTTCCACCGCGCTTGTTTCAGACTGACATTTGGAGTTTCGGCTGTGTGGTGTACGAGATGGCGGCCGGAGAGCGAGCGTTCGACGCCCCCGTCGTACAATTCCTCATCTTCAAGGTGGTTGCTGGGGTGGTAAGCTCAAACTGCCTGGTAGTAAAAGTCAACAACCCAAGATCGAAAAAGTATAACAATTTGTTCTCATGATTTAATAACACTTTGCTCTAAACATGCCTGATGTAGTGATGTCTTGAAGAAATGGTGTTGTGAGATTCTCAATTTGTCACCATGCCGACTCTTCCTGTCGTAGGTCCCTCCAATCCACAGCGACTACAGTGACGCTTTGCGCCGGTTAGTAAAGTCGATGATGGCCAAAGACCCAGATCACCGCCCCAGTGCTGCTGATCTGCTAGAACGTAGCCCTGTCAAAGAATTCAGACAAAGTCCCCAAAGGGTATGATATATATCCTGCATCATAGGATTTATTATATACCCATGTAAACTTAGGACAGTAATACAGGGGTCCAATGCGGATGATGTGGTCAATAGAGGATACTTAACTCGTTTCCGTGTAATACCAATTTATTAAACGAGTTAATGACTTGGTATCAAACGAGCGAAAACGAGTTTAATAAAAATGGTATTTCACGGAAGCGAGTTCAGTATTCTGTTTCGCTCGTTTGATACTAAATCTTTCACGAGTTAATAAAGATGGTATTTCACGAAGCGAGGTTAGTATTCTGTTTATTACTCTCCAACATAAATTGATAAAAACTGCCTACAGTGTGATGACTCTCTCATCAATTTTCCGCGAATCAAGCAAGGTCTAATACCATTGCCATTCGTCACCACTCGCCCCTTTCCGTAACCTCCAAGAAGACGCTATTCGGCTTGTCCCAGAATAACACGAGTTGGTCACAAATGATACCATTGCGACAGATGTATTAGCATTGTGACGTCATAACTGTAACCATTATGACGTAAAAAATCTAGCAGTATTACACTAGTGTAATATTGCCGTAAAAATATTACACTGCATTATCTTCCACAGACGAGTAATAATTCTGTTTATTACCTTCAACATACATTGATAGAAACTGCGGCTCTCAGCTGTCAGTGTGATGACTCTCAGCCTTCCGCGAGTCAAACAAGGTCTAATACCATTGCGACAGCGGCATTAACATTGTGACGTCATAACTGTGAACGCTTATGGCGTCATACGTCTAGCAGTATTACACTAGTGTAATATTGCCGTAAAAATCTTCCACGTGCGAGTAATAAATAGAGAATACTAAACGATGTCCCGTGTACTATATTTATGAAACGAGTGAATGGTTTGGTATCTAACGAGCGAAAGCGAGTTAGATACCAATACCATTCACGAGTTTCATAAATATGGTATTATACGGGACATAGATTAGTATTTTATTTATTACTCACCCAACATTGGCAAAATAATATCGAGCAAAGTACTTCTTTCCTAAGAATTCAACGAGTGTGATGACTCTCAGCTTTCCGCGAGTCAAGCAAGGTCTAATACTATTGTGACAGAGGTATTAGCATTGTGACATCATAACTGTGAACAAGTTTTACGTCATACGTACGGCACCACGCGATGTTATTACACAATGTGTAATAACATTGTAAAATTATTAAACAGTGATATCTTCAACGGGTGAGTAATAAAATTCCGTATAGCACCCCAGTTTCCGTATTGAACCCCTGCCGGTTATACTGATTTGTTTGTTTAAGTAACAGGCTAATGCAAGATAAGAGGGTATATAATAAATATAGAACGTCATACTAGTGCATTTGGATGATTTGTATTGAATTCGAAGATGTCATGGGAGTAGAGAAACAACTCGTTCTTCGAACTCATTGAACTCGAAGATGTCATGTGAGAAGAGAAACAACATCTTCTTGTTCAATACAAAACATCCAAATGCACTAGTATGACGTTCTATATATGTATAGCCATCAATATACTGATACACAATCCGCAGTATCCTTACATTGTTTAAACCGTGTGGATCTAGGAACATGGATTTAGAATCAGTAGGAAATGGGTAATTTGTCCCCTAATCAAACCAATCATAATCTTTTCAGCCCAAGAAAATTATGGAAACCAGAGGATTTCGGACGAAGTGGGGTACATCCGAGTCAACAGTGGACATTGGGAAGATGTTCAAAGAGATGGTGTTGAACCCAGCCCCACCTTTCAAAGATGGCGATATTCGTATTCCCGTAGATTCTCTCCAAGTGCACAGAGAACGACTGGGTCTCAAGGGGGCTGCCTCGGCAGCATCGGCCAGCGGAAGCGGAGGAGCTGGTATATATGTGTCAATTATGACTCCGAAACAGAAGGGCAAGCAGAAAGTTGCCGATAAGAAAATAGAGGTGACCCTGAAACCCGAAAGGTCGAGGACCGAGATGTCGGAAGGAAGAGCCGCCATCATGGGGGCAGTGATGCGAGGCTTGATGGGAAAGATGGTGGAGACCCAGGACGTGAGTATCAACACAAGCACCTGTCGATGTAGCTGGACAATTACCACCATGGTCAACATATCATATATAATATATTCACTAAATTTCGTAAAACGATGTTATGAGTAAAGAAATGAGGGTGAGCGGGATGGGTGTTTTATGTATAGGACAATTCTAATCCATTTTGTATCACTAGAAAGTGAAATATAACATCTTATTACTCGCCCGTGGAAGATACTGCAGTGTAATATTTTTACGGCAATATTACACTAGTGTAATACCGCTAGACATATGACGTCATAATGGTTACAGTTTTGACGTCACAATGCAAATGCCTCTGTCGCAATGGTATTAGACCTTGCTTGACTCGTGGAAAATTGACATGAAACTCATCACCATGTAGGCAGTTTCTATCAATTTATGTTGGAGAGGAATATACAGAATACTAAACTCGCTTCCGTGAAATACCATTTATTAAACTCGTGAAACATTTAGCATCAAACTCGCTCTCGCTCGTTTGATACCAAATCATTAACTCGTTTAATAAAAATGGTATTACACTGAATGTCGTTTAGTATCCTCTATTTATCGAGATAGTACCGTGTGATTTGAGCCGCTCCCTGGTTTGTGGAGAGCCTTGATAAAGCAAATTCTTGTTACAGAGAACACTTCGAGAATCTTACTCGAGCACTTCTTCCTCTTCCGACTCAGATTTCGACTCTACACTAGGAGCAAGTCACGGAACAACCACCAAGAAAGGTCTTACTTTATATGAAACTATAACATGAGATCTAGCTGTATTTGCGAAATATGACAGGTGTTATGTGGCAACGATCTTGTTTAGGTTTTAGTTTCAAATTCTTTCGTTTTACACAAGGTTATACTTTTTCTAAATTCCGTTTTGAAAATGTTTTTGTGAACTTTCCATCTCAACGGGCTTGAATGTTTTACGTTACCACGTGTAACTTCTACATTTGAATGCATGTTGCATCAACCACAGTTTGGGTGTTCCGTAATTACCTGATCCAAGTGAATCAGCAGTTATTAGAGCGAGTCATGACCAGGACGGTGTCCTCCCATTTGCGAGACACATTAATTAATGGTTCAGTGCACACAGGTGGTGCTTCCCAATCCCTACGATGAAAGGGAACAGCCCTGTTGCTGAAGAGTACCCGCAGGATGCATAGTTCATTAATGAGACACAAAAGACATTGTTCATTGAAGAGCATTTATTGATTTCAATAAAGAACAAGTTAAATACTGAAAAAGATTATCGTTATATTTACACAGAAGGAATAGTTCATTAAATACTTCATTATCATTTTTTATTCACACATTTTGATGATTTGAGTTATTATGATGTTTGTGTGTCATTATAAATAACTTTTTTTACATGGGTCCATATTTGGAAATTTTGACACTTTTCATATTTTCAGCAGTTTGCCGACTGCATCAAGATACTGCATGTGATTTTTCGTTCCATCTGCAAGTTGATCTTTGAGTCTATGTAGTCGATTGTCTATTTCCCTGTACACGCGTTTCCTCGATCGAGGGGCGCCTCCCAGGTCGAGTTGGCACAGCTTGGCCTTCTCTGCCTCTCTCTATTTTCCTGATGATTTCCATAAACCTGAAGATGTTTGGATGGCGATGACTGAGTGTAGCATTCAATCTACTGTGAAACCCTCAATGTTGTTGTTAGTCCTGGGGCCGAATGTGTCATGATGGTTCCATATGGGCAAGGAAAGCGAGCGTCGTCGTCCACCCAGGTTGTAGTGATGTAGTCGTTGAATGTCTGTGTAGGTACAAGTCTGCCGCTGCTTGTTCTTGTAATACAGGTGATCGGAAAGAGCAGTCACAGGTTAATAAATACATTTGGATTAATTATAGTTACAACAGTTATTGCTAGATTTTTCAAGCACGTAAATCTGAGTAGGTCAATTAATTTCTCTTTCAAATGATCACGAAGTTACCTACACAAAGTGTTTATTTTTTAAAGCCATTTACCTGAGTAGGTTAATTACTTTTTCTTTTAAGCTACCTCCACAAGATTCAGTTAAATAGCTAATCCCTAATTAGCTGGGGTTAATCCATTCTATCAGATAGGGGAGTAAGGTGTGTTTTCTTTGCTCCTTACCTTCTCCACTGTCTCACAACTGGGAGTCTCGCAACTGGGAGTTCTCGCAAATGGGAGTAGACCGACCAGGACACACCCATCCGTCCCGCCACGTCACGTGACCGGGATAATTATATATCGAAACAATGTAATCTTGAGGGGATTCTTTTTCTGTCACGATTCTCAACAGGGATTGAACTTAAAATATTTGGTAAAACTTTGTCATTTATTGCCTGTTTATTAAAGGTATTTAATATAATTCCCCCTGCTTCCATTCACGCTTTCAGCGATAGAGGCTCAATTCCTCATGAGACAGATCCAGGTGTTGCAGAAGTGAGTATTATTACCCAGTAAATGTAATACGTGGTTACGTTCTAAGCATGTAAGTTGCTATTTGAGTACAGGGCCTGGATGCACGAGTCTTTGTTAAAGGTCACATAAACCCTAGGGGGTAAAAATACATAAATCACTAACTGGCATCGTTATAAATGAAACCCCGTCATTAAAACTACTCATTTCGACCTTTAATTGACTTAAATCGACCTTTTTGACAACAGTGCACAATTCTCACCCGCGAACGAAATTTCAACCAATCAGAGCGGCGCGACTCTGTGACGTCATATGAGGAATAGCTTTGAGGGCCGATGCAGAATTCATCTACATTTTAGGGGGGTAAATTATCTTGTTTACAGGCTTGTATAAACCTGAAATCGTGACAATTGTTGTGGAAAATGAAAGCTATATGTTCTCACAATCTACTGGCATTTAATTTTGTCTCCTGCTTTGCCTAGTTTCCGAGTTACAACTTGTTTTCATAGATGCTTCTGTCACAATTGATTGGTGTCGTTAGGCCCTATTTGTATAATGACTGTTCCAAATTGATCCCATTTCTGTGTTTTTACCTCGATATTTAATCATGTCATGTAAAAATCTGTTTGTATTCTCAAAACAGTGTCGGCCCATAAGTTTTCACATGCAATACAGCAATTAATACTCCCTTGTTGTAACCCGTGTTAGGTGGTATAAACCTACACATGTTATTTGTCATCATTCACTTGATGGTCAGTTAATGAATTTATAACAGGTATAATTAGTGGTAACACACTTAGATTACCCGAAAAAGGTTCCCATTTGGCATTTCTTGTGTCTGGAGTAAATATTCAACATTATAAACATCGATCAAAGGATTAACCGATAACACGCTGATTGATTAATTACTTTTATCTTACACAGCGGAATTGTCAAAAGGTAGTGTTTATGTATGTAGATTTACTAATCTATACTGAATACACTTTGCCGTGTCGGTGTCTGCGTAAAAACAACGTCCTTATTTCAAAGGATTAACCGGCAATACATTGATTGATTGCCCATTATTGGCTAACTAAATTAGTGTTTTTAATGAAAGGCGGACATTATGCAATTAGTTGCCAGGTGTGCTATCTTGGGTGACCAATGAGACTAAACACCAATACCTGAAAAGATTTATCACTTTTTCGTATATTAAACTGTTAAAAGACACATCATTTGGAACAGTAATTTAATGTTTGGATACGTTCCTCAAACAAGGTAATGGCCTGATATTGTTCCTATAACTTTAATCTGTTTTAATTTTAATATTTGCATTTTGTTTTTTATTCATTTGTCGTAGCATTCAACAGAATCATTGTTTTCGCCGTGAAGTGTAATGAGACAGAAAACATACACTAGGGTGTGTGTGCGAATTATTATTCACATTGGCAAACTATAAAATGTCTAGATATTACAGTTCTGTTATAAATTCACTATAAGTATCGGCAGATCGTCAGCTTTTTATTTAGTTTCAAAATGCATAAAAGTATGATAATAAACTAATTAGGATTATAAGACCAAATATAAAGACGCACATTTACTAGTATCTACATACTGGTGAGTGGACATTAACCATGTGAATGTAGCAAGAAATTTATCGCGCAGTATTGTGACTTCGACATCCACCTCGCTTCCGTGGAAGAAATCGTTATGTTAGAAAGTTGTGTCATGCAAAATCCTTTTGGTTATGATTCCAATACATATTTAACTACGAGTAGAAAGTAGTTTTGATTTTCTAACTTGATGATAACAAACTATAATCTCATTAATTCTAACAGACTTTACGATTTTCAAAAATGGCGGCGCCCTGTCGGGAACATCCGCCAGTCTGTGGATAAATGCTATTTAGGTTTGTTTTCACCGAGTTACAAAATCAAAACTACTTTCTACTGGTAGTAAAATATGTATTTTATTGATGGCCAATAGGATTTTGCATGACATAGCGTATAACATAACAATTTCTCTCCTGGCAGCGAGGTGGGTGTCAATATAATACTACTTACAATATTATTGTTACTTCGACCACAACCTCACTTCCGAGGAAGAAATCGTTATGTTACAGTGGATAGCCTAGTGGTTAAAGCGTTCGCTCGTCACGCCGAAGATCCGGGTTCGATTTCCCTATATGGGTTCAGTGTGCGAAGCCAATTTCTGGTGTCGTGATACTGCGGCAATATTGCTACAAGCGCGAAAGCTAAACTCACCCACTCCTTAAACAATGTCATCTGCGACATACGTTTGTTAGCTGATAGAGCTTAGCCGCTGATAGTGTTTCTGTGACTGTTGTTTCCAGGTGATACTTTGTTCATTATAACTTGTGACTAGGTAAGACAAGCGCACCTGTTCCAAATAATATTTACAGAAAAACATAGAGAAGGTTCAAATCGAAATTTTGTAAACGGTCCACTTCATCCAGTTGTGAGTTGGTCGTTATACAGGGGCGTAGGAACAAGGGGGGGGGGGGGCTTTAGCCTCCCCCACTTTTTCCAAGACGAAACCATATCTACCTTACCAAAAGTACAATTTCATTTTGATTTTCAATACTTTTCATAAAATTAGCCTCTGAAAACCGTACCCAGGCCCCTGTTATATCAGAAAATAACTACATCCCGTACTTATTGTAGTAAACGACTATAGAAATGGGATTACAAATTGCTTTCAGAGTTGGCTCTTTATTGGATCTTTATATATAGTGATAAGACCCCTTCAGTGACTTTGTATAAAGTGCCTAGACCTCTTCAGTGACAGTATATACCGACTGTTTTGTCGGCTGTGATAGCTACATGTGAAACACATGTGATTCATGTGGTCTCACCCTAGGCAAGTGAGTTTGTTCAAACATGCTTCTGTTCGCCCAGCAGAAAATGGTAACCCGGTGGTATAAGTCATATGACTATAACCTTCTAGCGCCTCACAGGCAGCTTGGGTTATCCGGGGTAATAATGTGCTGTGCAAGCGCTTGGAGCATACACTTAGTGCCTCCATGGAGTATTTAGCGCTATAAAAATACACTCATTATTATTATTTTGCAGGCATGTGTTCGTGTTTTTGATGATTCGTTTTGTTGTTCAGACACTGTGCCGAAGGACTGGGGACAGATACCTTACAGGACGCTTACTCAATCCTGGAGTCGGTGACGGACGCCGGCCAGCTAAAGGTCAGAGTACTTATGGTACTTTGTGCTGCCATGTAGACTTTGCGTTAAACGTTTTCAATATACTCCATATACTGAATTTGGTTTTACGCCGCTCATAGCAATATTTGAGCAATATCACGGCGGGGACACCAGGAATGGGCATAACAAATTGTATCCAAGTTGGGAATCGAAAGCGGGTCTTCGGCGTGACGAGCAAACGCTTTACCGCCAGGCTACCCCAACGCTCTGATTAGTCTTGAAGGTTACGTATTAATCTGACATAACATTTCCTTCCGCCCAAAGGCTACGTAAACGCATGAGCCTCTTTTAAATATTGTGGGAGAAAATAAGTCTTCTTTGTGCTTGCAGGCCCGCCTCGTGACGCTGATAGGGGAGGATATGTTCCGACAATACGGCGAGAAGATTATGTACTTGCGTCTTTTCCAAGTCGGTTTAGACAAAGTCCGGTCTCAGATGGAATAGTAGCTCAACACTAAATTATACACTTTCAAGCTGGCGACAGCTGAAATTGAAATATGAGGAACGTAAAAACTCATCCAACAGACCATCTGTATAAGTGATCACTCGTGACGGAAAGCTGCGAGCGTGTCCGTGACCACTCGGGATTTGTGGCGCTGACAAGGGCGACTGGAACATTTGGAATACTCTTGTTATTTCGGTTGTCAGAATTCACGATACAAACAGGATTCGTCCTTAACTATTGTATAAATATTAACATTTTATGCCAGTATTAATATGTCGAAGCACAGTCAATTGTTGACGCATTCCATATTAAGTTCAGCTTTGGGGGTTAATTGGGGTCAAACGTCGCTTTCAAGACTGTTGCATCGTGTGTCTGGATGCTTGTACCAGTGGGAATGTCGGTTTATTGTGTCAGCCCCGGAGAGACAACATAGCGTAGTTTGACAAAGATAGCATACCATTATTCTGAGATGTCTTTGTTTTAACCATTTAATACCGGCGCAAGTACTGGCAACAAGAAGTACCATATTTTCATGTATTTTAGAGATGTATTCTGTAGAGATATAATAAGGTAATATGTCCAATGAAAAAGATCGACGTAACTTAAACCCACGCTCCACGTTCTGGTAGATACTAATCAATTTTGTTATTTAAGGTAATCGATATAGCTAAATACTGCTTTGATGCTCGTACATGTTCGCTGTCATAATCTTTAATACAGCTAAAAAATTGAAAAATGTAAGTTTTTCATCAAAGTTTAATAAAAATATAAATGCTGAAAACTGGAAAAATGCTTGTAAACAATGAAGCGATCTCCAGAACATAAGGTTTTTGTTATCAAATTTATCAGTTTTAGTTGACCAGTGTTGTCGCACATATAATGAATTACCCTTAGGTACGTGAAGCATGATTGTTATTTTGCATTATAATCACCCCGGGTCCCGATCCACAAAGCATTCGTAACGTTACGACCTGTCGTAACTCGACAGTTTACCATAAACTTACGATTGTCGTAGCGCTACGAAAGCTCTGTGGATCCGGACCCTGGACATGAGTGTATGTCGAATTTAGTTGTTCCTATTGTACATCATTAATTACCTCATTTGATCTTTGTTTGTATTGAAGTTTTTGGAGTCAATACTCTGGTACAAGTAACCGTAAGACTTCCAATAAAGTCCTTGAATTTAATTCGCTTCCGCGCAGCAGCACCCCAATTGATAAATGGGACTTTCAGACATTGTTCATGTGTTATATATACGTAAAGACACTGTAGTTAACCATGTCGAAAGGTCCGACGTATAGAACACGTAAATAATTTGAAAAGGTTTGCATTACATGTGAAAAGTTGTTTCCGAAAAATGGAATAAGGAACAGCCCTATATATTATTATATTATTGTTGGTCACATGTATATATTGAATGCGTGTTCTGGTGATATCTGGAGCTCAGTTGTTCAGATGCCTGTTATTCTCTGTCGATGTGGTAAAAGGCTGTCTGTATAATAAGTATTATACAATACTATTACCATTATATCATTGGTTTCCAGTATATATTGAATGCGTGTTCCTGTCATATCTTATGATGCTCTCTTTTGATGTGATAAAATAATTTCTGTATAAGTATTGTATAATTTGTTCCAGTTTAATTTATAGTAGACTGTAAAATCAAAATTTGTTTCTCATGAAACACAATTCCTGGATTGTAGAGAGAGTGAACTGGGTTCAACGTCGCTCTGAACAAAGTTAGGTGTGAGTGAGTGAGTATGATTTTACGCCTCTTTTAGAAATATTCCAGCAATATAATGGCGGGGGAAACCTGGAATGGGCTTCACACATTGTACCCATGGGGGACTCGAACCCGGGTCTTTGCGTGACGAGTGAATGTTAACCCACCGCCCAACCAAATTAAGTAATTTTAAAGACCACATGCATATATGGCGGCTTTTCAGCCTGATGTTGGACAAATATCCGAAGTAAAGCAGTTCATAGGTTTCTTCAGGTTCTTCAGATACCTTGGATACTGCTGAGTGGTGCGTTAAGACAAGTAACCTACAACAAAACTGCCGTGATAATAATAATAATAATAATAATAATAATAATAATAATGATAATAATAATGGAAATTTATATAGCGCTAAATCCAACCACTAGGTGGGTGCTCAAAGCGCTACAAAATAATAATAATAATAATAATGGAGTTAATGCAGTGAAAAGAGATGCGTTTTAAGATGTGATTTGAACGCAGCAAAAGATTGCTGGAATATTGCTAAAAGCGGCGTAAAACCATACTCACTCACTCACTACCACCAAACACCCATTCCTGATCTTTCATGGCATTGTCGCGATATGCGTTTAGTTTTAAACTCATTCTGAACTATATATAATGACAGTGTCCACTAGCCTTGGTGTACTTGCCGGATATCACATCTTCGGTTGAACACGAGTTTTATACACTACAGTAGTATTAACGATAAATTGCGGGTATAATTAAATATCAAGTAGGGAATCGAACTCGGGTCTTCTGCGTGACGAGCGAGCGCTGACACGACTAAGCTACCACACCGCCCCAAATGGATAAAGATGTTTTCACTAGGACAATAATGTTATTTTGGCCTTAAAACGATATCAGGCTGACGAGTTCGCATTAACGGTGTTTCTTTGTCCCTGTCCGGACTACTATTGAGTTTTGACAGGTAAATCGCGCTGGACTACACCTTATGCAAAGAGCGATTCGGTATATCTTCAACTGTTTGATATCTGGCTTCCGCACAACCTCAGCGGACACTACGGTAATCGCGCTGGACTACACCTTATGCAAAGAGCAATTCGGTATATCTTCAACTGTTTGATATCTGGCTTCCGCACAACCTGCAGCTGACACTACGGTGACACTGTTCTACGGTAACTGGGGTATCATTGGGTGTGGACAGCACCCACAACTCATTCTTAAGTTACACTTCACCATGAATGCGGAAGGTTATACTTTCCCCGCTACTTGGAACATTCTGACCAGCAAAATACACCCCCTATATCTACTGACCACATTCTTCACAGGGAAAGTCCAGCATGACATGGCTTTCTCAGAATTGACCTCACGTAACCACGGACATTTGTAGAGTGTAACCCATGTCCAGGCACCTTGGTCGTCTAAGTATAATATGTCTATATTAAATCGAAGTGAATATCGAATATACATTACGTTAAGATGGTCCCGATTGTAGACCACAGTGCCGAAAATGAACTAGTTTCATTTATAACAATAATCGCAATACAGAACCAACTCTCTGTATAAACTAAATTTCAATAGACTGAGTTCAAATACACGTGTCACATTCACAATCCCAGTATAAACCATATATGCAGTACAACCAGTAATTATTGAGAATTTAAAGATTGTAAATTTTATATTTTTATCACTCATTACTCACGTATTAAATGTGAATATTAGCAGAACATAACTCCAGATTCAAAGACATATCTCCAGATTCAGGTGAACAGTTAGTATTTTGTCAAGTCACCATTGGCAGCAACGCAGGCTTCAATGCGGCGGGGCATACTACTGATCAAAGAACGTAGAAAGTCGTGACCCATGCTGTTCCAATATCGGACCACCTCTTCTTTCATTTCAACAATATTTGTCAGATTTTTCTTATTGACACTTTCCTTCATAAGTCCCCAAACATTTTCTATTGGATTTAGGTCAGGGCTATAGCTAGGCCAATCTAATAATGTCATATTTTGGGTCCGAAACCAGCCTCTGAATGCATTGAACGATGTTTTGGGTCGTTGTCCTGCTGGAAAATCCAAACATTCCCATAGAACACGTGAGCAGATGGAAGTAAATGTCCCTCGAGAATACCGCTCACTGTTCATATTCCCTTCAAATACACAGAGGGGCGTTGCCCCCAACACAGATATGCCACCCCACACGTTTAATTTCGGACTGTACTTAGGGCGCTGATACAAAGGTTTTTAAGTTTGCTTGGTCCAGAATGTCAGTGTTTTAGGAAACAGCCACAGACAACTTTCATCTGAGAAAATCACATTGTCCCAGTTAAAATTTCTATGCTGAAAGCACCAGTTCAACCTTCTCTCCGTTTATTCAGGTTTCATGATCGGTGATCACTTACCGGTTATTCAGAAGAATTTGACACAATCTGGTTCAATTGTTGAACAAACGCCCTTCTTCTTCCATACATGTCGTCTGGAACTAACGCGCATTAAAAACTCGTGCAGCGGAAGTGAGCCTCGATTGGTCGAATTTGTAACCATGACAACGCGCGGCAAGGCCGCAAACACCGGGGTGAAATCTGCAACTTTTAGGACCAGATTTGACATCTGTTAAGGATAAAATGGAAAGCGACTGTAACGATATGTGGCTTAGTGGCTGAGGCGCCCGACTCGCCAATTAGAAGACTTTTCCACCTCAGTACAAAATAAATCCAGATGTTTTATGATGATAAGTTTATGATATTTAAACCAATTTTAAATAGGTTTTAGTGCATGAAATTTTCGGGTTCATGTAATGAACAGCATAGGCTACAGTTGTCGGCCAGTGTTACGTCAGTGCATAATCAGCACTTATATTTCAGCTACTTCTCTTGACCGCCTTAAACTACGAGTCTGAACCAGACAAAACAGTGGTTGATATAATGAAAAGGCTCCTCGTCGGGATAAGATGACATGCTTTTTCAAACTTACAGAAAATGACCATCCGATCTGTAAATCACCTGTGTAGACAGGAAATTCAGGGTTTGGCGAAACACGAGTCTGAAGTGATTAAGAACCCGAGCGAAAACTTCTCAAGATGACGAACACATCCTTGAAGATTTACAAATAATAATAACCCGTGAAGATCCGGGTTTGGCCACACTTTTTTATTACTTGGTTTACGGATTTTTTACAGAAGTATTCCGGTCGGTAGGTGGTAAAAAAAGAAAGAAGAATGCTATTCCAGATTTTTTTCCCCGTAAGGGGCTTTCACCACAAGTATGCTGCTTCAAAAATAGAATATGCCATCAGCCATTCAGATGTTTTCATTTCCTACCATAGTAGGATTTTAAAAAAACAACAACAGCATTTTCACTCGATAACGTTAATTCGGCGATTTTATTTGTTGCAACATTTAAAATTTTGTTTTGCTAAAATTACGGTCGGCGGATCCCTAAACCAAGTAATAAAAAACGTGTGGCCTTAGAATGGGGTAAGATCCGGGTTACCCATGTTTGTCGTAAAATGCGACTAACGGGATCGGATGGTCCGGTTCACTGCCTTGGTTGACACAAGGCATCATACCCAAATAGCGTAGATCGATGCTTGTGATGTTGATCACTGGTTCGTCTGTTCTAGACGCGATTAGGACCAGACAGCGTCATACAGGTGGAATATACTGCTGAGCGCGGCGTTAAACAAAAAACAAACAAACAAATGGTAGCAACAGCAGAACGATAACCGGATGTCCAAACTGGAAATAGAACGCTGAGATCAAGCTCGCTGCGGAAATACACAGTTTGAACATCCGTTTAGTAAAATCGGTGACCGTAATGCTGCTAAAACTCGATCACTCCTATATAAATAACAATCCTCCATGCATTCTTACTCATTTTCACCCTTTTTATCTCATCAAGTGCATAAACGTAAGTCACGGTAACATCATTTTGTGATCGATTTCCCTATGCTGCTAAAATATATTTAAAATATTTATTTCATCTTCTTGTGTTGAACCCGTGTTGTGCGATGTATCAGGCTCAGATAAGCCTTATTCTTCTCGAATGTATTAATCAAACCCTTTTATAGTTTTCGGATTGGTTCCCGATCTCAGGAAATGCCTCGCAGTTCATTATTGAAATACGGATTGAACCTGACCTCAGGGAATACCTCGGGATTCATTATTGCAATACGGAACAAATGTTGCTGATATTTTCAGTCAACATTTCTCAGTCGCGAAGGTTTAGATCAGTTAAAATCTTTTTAAGCGAAGATGGAAGATTCGAAAGTAATCTGTAATATGTTTGTTCACTGACCAGATCCAGGACCGGATACACCAAACGCTCCTAATGAAGTTCTTAGCAATTCTTCTCAGCTTCAAAATTACTATTTTACATTACCAACAGACCGGCCGCCATAATCATTTACCGTTATTTCAATTCTACCCATGTATCAAATCTAATTAAATTAGATCTTTTAACCCGATATAATACCTTCCTTCATACAGGTAGCCTAGTGGTTAAGCGTTGGCTCGTCACGCCGAAGACCCGGGTTCGAATCCCTACATGGGTACAATGTTTGAAGCCCATTTTTGGTGTCCCCCGCCGTGATGTTGCTGGAATATTGCTAAAAGCGGCGTAAAACCAAACTCAGTCAGTCAGTCAGTCCTTCATACAGAACCCTCGAAGATCCGGGTGAGAATTGGTCGTCAGCTACCCATGTTTGTCGTAAGAGGCGATTAACGGGATCGGGTGGTCAGGCTCGCAGACACAATCATGTCATCGCATCCCACCTGCGTAGATCGATGATCATGCTATTGATCACTGGATTGTCTGATCCAGATTCGATTATTTACAGACCGCCGCCAAAAAGGTGGGCCTAGATTTTCGAAGTTCTCTTAGCGCTAAGATAGTCGTAAGTGCCATACATTAACATTAACTTACGACTATCTTAGCGCTAAGAGAGCTTCGAAAATCTAGGCCCTGGAATATTGCTGAGTGCGGCGTTAAACAACAAACCAACAAACCTTCATACAGATCTGATAAAGCCTCTTTGAAGTGTGCAATTTCGTTTTCAACGAAAAGAAAACCAACGAAGATAGCAGATTTTCCTTCGACAGTATACCCCTTTGGTTGTAGGCACCATGGCGCTCAGAAACGACAGGGCGTATCAAATATCAACAAACATATGCATTATTTCCATTTGATATCATTTGTTTCAGTTCGAGTTCAAAATACAAAAATCAGATATGATCCTTAAATGTTCCACGCCTCGACGTTGACTGACCTTTATTGACAGTTCGTCTTTAGATGCCCCCTCAGATCTCCACCAAGCGAAATATTATATCCTAAGTTATTCACGACAGCAATGATTCATTTCATGACGCCCATTTACAGAATGATCCCCGCATACTTTATCTAGATACTTGAATTATACTTGTCCACTGTCCTCGGAATGTTAAGACCTAGCTTGGGTATTTCGAAAATTGATCCTGAGGGAAAGCATCAAACAATATTTTGGTCGGTGATTAGATAATCGATTGGCTATATTATTTATCAACTATATTATTTATCATACAATTTAATGGTTGATGTGCTGGATAACCGAGGATGTAATTACAAATCCAGAAGCAAAATGTGGAATGGGCGGACATCTCTTGGAGTTCTATTGTCGCCGTATTGTTTTAATATTCATAGTGCGGAAAACGTAGAATAAACCTTCACTATTTCAAGCATGTTACAGTATTAGAGGATACAATGTGTGAAGCCTATTTCTGGTGTCCCCCGTCGTGATATTGCTGCGATATTGCTAAACGAAATGTAAAACCATACTCATTTACGTACTCATTCATTCTCTTACGATTAAGGGGCGATGGGGTAGCCTAGTGGTTAAAGCGTTCGCTCGTCACGCCGAAGACCCGGATTCGATTCCCCACATGGGTACAATGTGTGAATCCTGATGTCCCCCGCCGTGATAATGCTGGAATATTGCTAACAGCGGCGTAAGACCATACTCACTCACTCACTCTTACGATAAAAGCTTGATTACTAACCTATAGAACCGTACGTAAAATCATCAGCAGGTGCCCCGATCACCTGGCAACCAGGACGCGGAAGTTGAGATGGGAAGTAACTCTTGTACTACATCCGGAATACTAACATTCCTCTATTTTCATAACATGGGGAATTTCGTTGGATGTTTTTTTGCGTCTTAAAGTTCTGTTGGGAAAACACGTTCGATCACGTCGATTATGGACCCCTCAACGAACATTATTAGGAGCAACTTCCAGCTGACATGATGCGAGTGCATCTATATTAACACTGCATCTGCAAGAACCATACTCATCGTATGCATTAGAACCAAAATCAACTCTTTTAATGAACGCCGTTCGGATGTGTTTTTTAAACAAAACTATCAGCTGATGTAGTTTAAAAGGAAATCTTCAGAGTTTTCTGTGGCCAATGAGTAACAGGCCTTTCCGTAGTGATGACTTCGTACAGTGTCACTTGCAAACTCGGAGAGGGGAGTTTTGCTAAAGTGTTTCAGCTGAGTTCACTGGACCGAGATGAGGGCCAAGATGTAAGTAAACATTTGGAGCCACTATATGTTTGTCAGTATATTATTTTGGAGGATCCATAAGCAAAGGATTAGGGATAACCTGCCCAAAACACAGGGTTTAACGCTAAAACTGCCATCAAGGTATATACTGTCACTGAGGGGTCTTAGTAATAAAAAGGATTCATTGACTGTATATTCCTTTGATGGCAGTTTTAACTTTTTAGCACTACAAGTCCTGTGCCCCAAAACAACTAACCCTATTATCGAGTGAATTGTTACTAATTATTTTTTTCTTGATACGTCTATGTCGTAAATACTACTATCAACTGGGTGGCAAGTGGATTCTATTATTGCACCAAAAATTTAATTGCAGTTGGCTCTTAACACATATACTAGGCCCATGGAGATTATGGGTAAGAGATATTGTTCGGAACAACCTGTTCTTGTCATGATGAATTGGTTGGTTAGGCTTGGTTGATGCACCTCAGTATCTCCCTTGATGCATTGATTGATGCTGGTGATGTTAATCATTGGATTGTCTGGTCCAGATTTACATATTTTTACAGATATAGCTGGAATATTTTCTGCGAGTGGCATAACAAAAGAAATGAAAAAACTATATGTATGTTAATTTTCTTATTTTCCACATTTAATTTGTGGGGCCTTGAAGCACTACCTATTTCAAATTTAAGCCAAGACAATAATAAAAGATTCCCTTGGGAAGTTTTTATCCACTTCCTTCTAACCAAATTTGCTTTGGATCTTCATCAGATTTGTGATTTCCATGCTGGAATATTGCTGAGTGAGGCATAAAACTAAATTCGCTCATCAGATTTGTTTTTTTTGTTGTTTAACATTGCATTCAGCAATATTCGAGTAAAATGATGGTGGTCTGTAAATAACTGAGTCTTGAACTTACCTATGTGAACAACCCATGGTTAGAGTAAGGTTAGAATTGGTCTTCACCAACCCATGCTTGTTGTAAGAGGTGACTAATGGGATCGGGTGCTAAGTCTCCGGACTTAGTACATGCATGTCATCGCATCCTAATTCTGTAGATTAATGTTTATGATGCCAATCACTGGATTGTCTGGTTTAGACTTGATCATGTATAGATCACGGTCTGACATCTGTTACATTGGTGAGTATGACATTCAACAAAGAGAAAGACTTCTCTGTGCAATTACTTATGATTGATGATTGATTATGTATTAACGCTACACTCAGCAATATTCCAGCTATATGGCGGCTGTCTGTAAATAATCAAGTCTGGACCATATAATCCATGCTATTGGGATACGATGACATGTGTCAACCAATTCAGCGAGCCTGACCACCCAATCCCCTCTTTCAGCAAGCATGGGTTACTGGAGACCAATTATAATCCGGATCTTCACAGGTCCACTGATTATTTCCGATGATTGATAGTGAAATCCAAACTGACTCGTAAAGCTAGTCTGTACCATCCATGGTTTTACAGTATGCCCTGAAAGTGATCGACAAAGATCGCTTCTCCAATGATGAACGAGACAAGTGTATGCAGGAAGCCAAGCTGATGAGGAAGCTGAGACACGAGAATGTCGTCGCCTGTTTTGATGCCTTTGAGTACGAGAACCACTTGATCCTGGTCACAGAGTACTGCCCTCGGGGCGACATGTACTGTTACCTTGGTGACTGCAGGGATGCCAAACCTCAACAACCAGTGTCAGAGAACAGGATTTCTATGTGGGTGTTGCAGATTGCCAAGGCTTTACAGGTGAGTTATCGTATGTGAGTGAGTGAGTTTAGTTTAGCATTGCTTTTAGCAATATTCCACCAGTATCACGGTGGAGGACACAGAAATGGACTTCACACCTTTTAACCCCTGTGGGGAATCGAACCTGGATCTTCGATGCGAATTGAATTCTGAAATGTGATCAATATCACAAGGGACTTAAGCACCTGACAAGAATATCAATTGCTAATAATATCAAAACCAATTGTATTAAAACAATCAGATATTACGGTGCCCTTTTTGTTTTGAGATGTATTATTGTTGCTAATGATTGTTTACTTATCTCTATATAGTAGAGGACATGCATGGTTCTTGGTGGGAATTGGCAATATAAATCTATCCAAAGGCTCCTCCAAATAATGATGTTAAAATGTTAAACATACTAGTGCTGTTGGTAATGAATAGCTGCACATTCCTATATATAAGGCATTAGTGTATGATTCTTAGTAAGAAGTGACAACAGGCACGTTGATACTTTGTGGTATGCACAGGTTTTCACTGTATGCAGGTAGAGATTTTTAAGAAGCACAATGATGTTGGTCAGCACATAGTGGTAGTGGTTATTGCTGGTGCCTTGGAGCACCTTGACTAACCCTAGCTGGGCTAAAGGTGAGACTTTCTCTCACAACAAGATAACAGTTTTTTAAATTTCCATTTGGAACTGCCTGTTTATGTTCTGTTTCAAGATATACAGCTCTGAGTGCTGTTTTCTCATGCAGACCACCATGAAGATCTGGGGTTAGAATTGGTTCTCATCAGCCCATGCTACACTCTTGTGTAGTGGTCACAAGATTTCTGAGTATCGCGCTGGGATTCGAACCACAGACTTTCTGATCTCAAGTCAGAGGCCTTGTCCACATGACCAAAGAGGAAGCATTGTGATGTGGTAAGGATGTCATCTATGGGATGACTCCATGCCCTGCTACATACTCCCCCCGTCAACAGAAGGCACGTCCAGGGCCGCATAGTACTCAAGTACTTATTGAGTAATTATTTTGTTGACAGGGTAAGCATGTCACCGGTGGGATGACTCCATGCCCTGCTACATACTCCCCCCGTCAACAGAAGGCACGTCCAGGGCCGCATAATACTCAAGTACTTATTGAGTAATTATTTTGTTGACAGGGTAAGCATGTCACCGGTGGGATGACTCCATGCCCTGCTACATACTCCCCCCGTCAACAGAAGGCACGTCCAGGGCTGCATAATACTCAAGTACTTATTGAGTAATTATTTTGTTGACAGGGTAAGCATGTCACCGGTGGGATGGCTCCATGCCCTGCTACATACTCCCCCCGTCAACGATGGCACGTCCAGGGCTGCATAATACTCAAGTACTTATTGAGTAATTATTTTGTTGACAGGGTAAGCATGTCACCGGTGGGATGACTCCATTGCCCTGCTTCTTTCACTGCTTTGCTTGATGCAAGTCACTATATCCGAGTGTCCGTCACTAAATTATCTGGTCCACACCTGATGATTTACAGAACACCTCAGTAGAGCTGGAATACTGGAATGGGGCATTAAACAAACAAAAACACTAAAATTCCGTCATCTTATGAAGAATGTTTTTTGTTTTAGTATCTGCATGAGAGGAAGATTCTTCACCGAGACCTGAAGACAAAGAACATCTTTCTGATGGAAGATTTGACTGTGAAAATAGGAGACCTTGGAATAGCAAAGTGAGGAAGTAAAATGGACACAAATTTACAAAAATGAGATTAAAACATATGAGAGGGATTCCAATAACTTGAACAACGACAGGTTCCTAAGTCACCAAAAGATTTGTTCTGTTTACATGATTGTGTAACAAATATCTTTTTGATATGTTTTTTTTTGATGAACAAGTGGATTGATTGAACAAGAAGTCAAAGGACGGTTTCTTCTGTTCATCTATGCACTATTTTAGCCAATGTCCCATATCCTTTTAGAAGTTGGTAGAGTATTTTGTTTTATCTGAGGGCCGTATCCTTTTTGAAGTTGGCAGGGTAGTTTATTTCATCAGGGGTCGTTGTGGTGTAGCTTAAATTTTCTTCTTAATATAGATGGTTAATCCTGAAAATTAGAGTTTGATGTTTTCTAAAGTGAGGATCAGATAGACACACTGTTCCAGCATTCATGCTATTGATCACTGGTTTGACTGACCCAGATGTCATTATAATTAAAGTGTTTTTGACTCAAAATATATCAGAAAACAACATTCATTCATTTGTTGTTACTTATACACAAATAAATAATTGGAATATTCTTGAAAAATTGGTAAATCCTTAGATCCATATACCCACTTATTGTTTAAAGTAATATACGTTAAAACTGATAAAGAAGTGTATTAAAAGTAATGTAACCTAGTTGATCTATCTGCAGGATTTCTGCAGGTTTCTATTGATACAGTGGTATTTGTGCTTGAAAAGTCCACTGAGTCAAGTCCTTGGTATCAAGAAGACACAGTATTGAACAAATGTTGTGTATTTTTGGTGAAATCGTTAGAATTCCTCAACTGTCCATGCTGTTTTTGATTTTTGAATCAGGATTAACAAGTGCCATTGTACTTAGTCCGCGTTGATGTCACATGTTTGCTCTTCAACAGTTTTGATAATCAAACAGGACATAAATTTTTGTCGTTTTTAGCTTCATTTGAATTGAATCTTGAAATGTGACTGGAGACTTCAGCACCTGACTTATCAACTGTGTTTAAACAATCAGATATTCTTTCAAGCTTATATACTTGCAGCATGTGGTGCCCTTTTCATTTGAAGAAGGGGGTGGTGAGGTAACCTAGTGGTTAAAGCGTTGGCTCGTTACGCTGAAGACCCGGGTTCGATTCCCCACATGGGTACAGTGTGTGAAGCCCATTTCTGGTGTCCCCCGCCGTGATGTTGCTGGAATATTGCTAAAAGCGGCATAAAGCCATACTCACTCATTCACTCATTTGACGAAGCATGCTATGTTGATAATGATTGTTTGCGTAACCCTATATGTAAGGACCATCTGTCTTGGTAGGACATACCCTTGAAGATCCGTGTTAGAAGACACAATATTGAACGACAGTCTAAGTGAACTTAGGCTCAGTATGATTCATTACACTACTATACTGAGTCTAACAAACCCTAGTAGAAGGTCGCGTCAGCTAACCTTTTGAATTAACCAATCAGAACACAGCTTTCCAAATCACGAAAGTTAACATTGGCACTTACCGTTTGAACTTTTACCACAAAAACGTTCGAACTTGAACAATTCCGAATGTTATTTTCCGCACGATTGCTTCTGAGTGATACACATGGAGGACGCCATTATTCACAACTGTGAGTAAACAGTCGCTGAAAATATTTCGGTCAATATTCCAGGAAGTCATCTTGCTGAAATATAAGTTAATAGTAACCATGTCATCAGAAACCCCTAAGCATATATACTTCAGGTCAAAGGTCTGTATATTTTGTTTCAACTATTTTTATTCAGTTCAGGAGTATAATGTCAGATATCTAAATGTCAAATACATTTTCACGTGTTATACCAAAAGATATATTGAGACTGGAACTATTGAAGCATACCCACCAGTGGTCTCCATTTTTGCTCAAATTGTTTTCTTCATTGTTTTTTTGCAGTATATCTTTCTGTTTTCATTATCTCTTTGAGAGATTTCTTGAATTTCCAAAATACAGGAATGTTATTTTCATGCTCATATTACATATGTATTTCTTGGCTAGGAAAATGATATGAATTATAAGATAATCTGAGTATTAGGAACTAAAAACGATTGTGGTGTTAGTTAGGACAAAGCTTGGTATTTCGTCTTTCCAAAAAGCTTCAAAGTGAGACCAGATTTTTTTTGTATGCTGACAGCAATAATACACGCTTTATATTTTTCTTTCTTCTGTATATAACAAACAAACCATCATCATCAACAATTTTCATATATAGCAACTTATGTTTGGTGTAAATTTTCTTGTGAATAAATTTGTATTGAAATTGATCAGTTTAACATCATTAGTACATTTTCTAAATTTAGTGAATGTAGATTTCCAGTTCATATCTTCTGGAAATTGGGTTTTCCGTTTTGTACAGACGAGAGGTAGATTGTCTTTCTTTATCAAAGTATCGTAAAAGTACCTACAAGACTTAATCTACCTACAACCTTTAGAATATTTTAACATATTTCTTTAGGGTTCTGGAATATTGATATTTTCTTCAATGAAATCTCCATTTGATATAAATTTTCTCCATAGGAGAGGAATATTTAATAACATTTTGTTGTAGTGTAGTACTGTGCCATTCTAGTCATATTTGTGTTTTAATTGCACGAAAGACATTATACCTTTGGAATCACTTACATATGTAATGGTACAAAGTCCTTTTGAAAACCATGACTTAATAATGAAATTTGGATGAGTAAATTGGTGGTTAAGCCATATTGGTTCCGCTAAAATATCATCTACCTTGTTTCCCCTCACATTTATACAATCTATAACAAATATCTGCACTTTATGCAGATTTTGTTTGTTGAGAAATCAGTGTCAGCGACCAGGAAAGAGAATATCCATTTTGTAAGTCCTGTTAACCCTAAATAGTACTGTAGCTGTTGTCTGATTGGTTAAATCTGTTCGTCTGTCTAGTGATATATTGACGGTCATAGGTCGCTCAAAGGTTAGCTGACGTGACCTTCTACTAGGGTTTGTTAGACTCAGTATAGCAACGTAGCAAATAATACAGAGCCTAACTTTACTTAGACCGTATTGAACGAATGTTTATTTGCAGACAGCTGGACTTTACACTGGCCCAGGCTGATACCTTCCTGGGAACACCTCTATACATGAGTCCCGAGATATTCCAGTTCCAGCCCTACAGTTATAAGGTGAGGTCTGTCCAGGTCTGATGCGGTAGTAGAAGACAATGTCTGATCCATGAGGTATCTCAGAGCTGCGACTTGTAATCAATCAGTTGTAATCATAAACCTCTCCACAAAACTCATGTGGGCAATCACTGGAGTAGGCTCAAGAAAGGATTTGAGATGAGTTCTAGTCATCTGCGGGAAGCTTGAGCACTATGTTGTGTCATTTAAAGGCACTATATCACACCACATTTCTCTAAAAATAAATAATGCATTTCTCTCAATAATACTATCAGCCCTCAGGGAGGCTACCATATAATTTATTACAAAAATATTTTGATACAATATTAAATTAAAAAGTGGGAATAAATTAATGCAGTATTGCATTAATTGACTACCGCCCAACATTATTTCAAGAGATCCCCATAGAGTTATTTCCTTGGAGTGCTCTTTACTAATATCCTACACACAATTTGTGATTGAAACCAGTTCGCAAACATTGACAACACCGCAGCGCTTACAGTTTTCAATGTTTACATTCCATATATGGCAAGTGTTCTCTGTTTGGAAGCCGTTCATCTCAAGTTTCAATTATCGATTTCAGGCAAGTTGTATGATAATAAGTCTAAATTGAGTGCATATGCCCCAATATATATAATATAGGTCAAAATATTGTCAAAACTATGTGACATTGTGCCTTTCATGTATCACAGTGAGTTGCATAGAATCATCACACGCGATACCCCCTGCATCATGAGTTGAATCCTGTATTCTGTAACAGAAGGCTAAACAAAAGAAACACATCCTTCTTTCAAATGTTGTCTTGCATGTGTGTTTTATCTCTGTGGCCAACACTGATATGAAAACAAAGGCAGAAATATTCATAATTTATGGCTAGTGGGGTGATGATTTTAATGGGTGTGTGTGTATCACTAATTTTGTACACATGCACTAGGGAGGTTGTCATTGATTTTGTACATGACATTGGGGATGGGGTGGGGTGTCACATAAAGTTTGGGGGCTCATACATATTGAACATGCTTCCATAAAAAGCATCATCACCCCTAGCCATAAATATGAATGGTCCCTTTAGCTTCTCAGAACCGAACAAGTGCTTGTTAGTTTTATGAAAGTGGTATGAGTCAACCTTGTCACTTCAGGTTTCCCCAAAATACATGGAGATACTTGGATGTAAGCAATGATAGAAAGTAAGGTTATATTGAAACCACCATAAATCCCTTTATTTAAAACAGATATTAAAGTACAACACTGATGAATAAACAAAATCAAGATTCTGTGCAAGAAGTGCAAGAAAGTTGTTGTGTTTGTAGGCTGACATCTGGAGCATGGGCTGCTGCGTGTACGAGATGATGACGTTACGCTTCGCCTTCGAGTCACCATCACAGCAGAAGATGGTGCAGAGGATCATCAAGGGCAAGGTCAGATATCTCGTGTATTTCTGCCATCTTCCATCCAATGGTCTGTTTTCCATTTCCTGTTTCCAATGAAACAAAATCATTTCTATTGGTGAGCTTTGCAATTGGCATAAATGATGATTTATTGTTTATTATTATTATATTATATGCCACATTTCTATAGGACCCTATTGAACTACTTCAAGATCACTCTCAGGTGCTTCAAAAGTTGTTTTTCCCTCGATCAATAGATGTCAATCCCAAACGGCATATTGTATTATCAATCTAAACTCCCTGGGGATCATACAACTCTTGCAGCCACTAGCTAGGTGCACCGAGTTGATGTGGATTTCCCATCCTTACGAGGTACTCGTTCACAGCTTGGTGGACTGGGACACAAAGTCACAGTACTTTGTCCACATTACTGCACGTTGCTGTACCCACAACTACGTGTTTGCACCTATTCATGTGGCCACCATATGGTCATCTACCAACGGATTCGTGGGTTCTTTTAAGTGCACAGGGTTGTGTACTGTACACTAGGGGTTGTGACAACACTGAAAGGATCTGCGCACAAAGTTGAATCCAAGGTTTTTACACCTGGTCACAGGTGGGCTCGATCCCGACACCTCAAGCTCGCTGGATCACTTGTCTGGCATCTTAGACAGTTAGCCCACCACTCCTCATAATTTACCCATCATTTACTTTTTATATAACTTTTTTCATGATGAAACAAAGCCTCCTTTATAAGCTACCTGTCCCATAGAAACAATACTTTTGTGTAATATAAACAGTGGATGCAGTGGCAAATAGAGACTTGAAAGGCTCTCGGAGAAAGACCATGCTTCATGTCAGTGTAGTTTTTACAATTAGTGGTGCTAGAATATATCTACAGAGGTTGGTAAATGTAACAATGGTTCTGGTGTATTGGGAGAGCGGAAGGTCGCGGGTTCGATCCCCACCACGCCATACCAAAAGACGCTAAAATATGGTACTTGTTGGTCCCCTGCCTGGGCCGGCATTAATGGGAACAACAAGGACTGGTCGGCTCAGAGTCAGTATAATGTGTCTGAGTGGGGTATTCTTGCTTCACTGCGGCATGGTATCTCAGTGAGCTAGCACTATAAAACTAGCTTAAGTCTGGGCTAGTACAAGCAGCCGCGACATACACATACACACGCATGCACGCCATATGAGTGAAATATTCTCGGCACGACGTAAAACCCAATTTCACCTCACCTCACCTCTGGTGTATTGGACACTTGTCATCCATCTTGCGCAGGCGCCGACTGTTCCAGCTATGTACAGCAAGAACCTAGGGAGGCTGGCTAACGACATGTTGAACAAGGACCCACAGCTCAGGCCTCATGCTGTGGACATCGTCAAACAACTACAGGTGGGACTTAATACACTGCTTCCCGTAAGACTGCCAATTTATTGTAAATTATGATAAATAAAACCATTTCTGATGTCTTTTCAGTTTTATAAAGCATCTAAATTTTGGAAATGTTTTCAAATAATTCCCTAAAGTTTTGATTATTGTGTCAAACACAACATGCTTTAATGTTTTTCCACATTTACTTTCAGAAATTATAGATAGAGAGAAAAAGAGAGAAATAATACATTGTTGCCACACAGTTGATGAGACTGCACCATTTGCTATAGAGTTTAGGGTAGCTTACTCTGATGAAATCTTTTTCTATTTTGAAATCTTATTTTATGTAAGAATGTAATCAATGATCTGTCTCCAGTCAAACCAAGAGAGACCCAGCTCAGGGGATATGAAGATCTCGCCACGGAGCAGACGCCGTCTGTCAACATCTCGAAGTGACAGCCGAGTAGACATGCCCGATCTTACGCCATCACTACGCTCAGACCGACACGCCATTGTCGACTCCCTCATGACGTTCTTCAGGCAGAACACGGCAACAGGCTTAGGGAACGGATTTGAGATCGGCGTTCTGTCGTCCACAAAATCTGCACTGTCAAGGACTGTTAAAACAATATGGACGCGTAATCCTAGTCAGGAGGAGACAACTCAGTTTGTGAGAAAATTCGGGACAGGGTTGCAAAATGGGGATAATCCTCATAGTGATGATATGGTGGACAATATTGGATACGGAGAGACGTCTGGTGTTCATGACACTGTGAAGAAGAGCCCAAGAAAACGTGATAAGACGTCATCGCAGAGATCCATGCTCAGAGACTATTACCAAGCTGTTGAAATGTACGATGATAATTATTATGACATCCAGCCTGACCCTGATGACGTCATTCAGTGGGCGAGACAGAATCTGGCATCTTGTAACGTATCAGCTGAACCTCCTTCCAAAGATTCCATTGATGAGGTATATAGCAGCACTCATTTTCTAGTACATAAAAACTTATGAATTATTAGGTCTGCCCCAAATGATCGATAATCAGAAATATTGTTGTCGAAAAGTTATTGGACTCTTCATAACGAGGGGGTGTGATGATGATTTTTAAGGAGAACCATGTACAATGTGAGTGACCCTCCTGCGTGTCATGTACAAGATCAGTGACACTTCCCCCCCCTTCCTCCCTCCACCCCCGTATATGTAGCAAAAATTGATTAAAACACCCACATGTGTACAAAATTGATGTCCCCCACTACCTCCCCAGAACAAAATGTGCCCACCCCTCCCCAAAAAAAAAAAAAAAAAATCATCACGCCTCTAGCTATAAATTATAAAAGGTCATTAAAAGGTGATCGATATGAAAATTGTGTCATTGACAATATCCTATATAATGTATTGTGTTGAGAAAGAGCGTTATTTTATTCACACATTACACAGAATTAGGCCTTTATTCCTCGGCTGCTTGTGACTTATGTTCAGGATGTTGTTTTTGATAGTAATCCATGCATTAAAATGGCATCACCACTTATCAGTGATCTTAAATATGTTGATTTCTTTCAGACATTTTGGGCAGTTTTGCTCAAAGTTACTTTTCTGATAATAGTCAATCGATATATAGTTAATGATTATCTCTATGATCTATATGTGGGTATACAACTTGCTACAGCAATGGTCAAGTGAGGAAACTATATGCTGCCATATTTTACTTGACATATTCTGCCTGTGGGGACTGAAACCTAGGTTAGTTTGTGTGGAGAGAGAACAATTTGTTTCCAGTGTGTTTTCGTTAACCCTGAAAAGCTGAAAGGACCCAGAACCATAACAAGTTGTGGGTCCGGATCAGAATGTGTAGGCCCTATATTTTAGCTACAATTTAATTCCCAGCAAAAAACCAAAAATGTGAGTTAAAAAAAGGCCCTATCTTAGTTATCTAAACTGCTTCCTCGAAAATGATAGTCGTTTTACTAACAGACAAGATTTGCTGAATGAGATAAAATTTAGAAATTACTGAATGATATTTTCTGAAAAATAATACACTTAGTTATTGGGGATGAAAACGCTGTCGGCGATAAGGACCTGCAGAAAACAAAAGCTGTGGGTCCGAGTGGTTTTTAGTCAGCTTCGGGCCTAAGGACCAGCGTTAATTTTGAATGCTGTTTGTTTCACACATTGTGCCTATATTAGGAATAGAACTTGGATCTTCGAGTGTGGAAAGACAGCAGCTTGACTAATAGGTGAATAATCTGCTGCGTAGGGGCAGTGGGGTAGCCTAGTGGTTAAAGAGTTTGCTTGGCAAGATCTGGGTTTGATTCCCGATATGGTTACAAGTCGCAAGGCCCATTTCTGGTGTCTCCAACTGGGATATTGCTGGAATATTGTGGCCTAAATCTAACTGGCTTGGCTTCTGATATTCAATTATTCTTGACATGTAAATCCAATCGGAACGTTTGGATCAACTTTCGCCACCTGAAAGCTTAACAGTCAGTGAGCACAGAGTGATTATATTTGTTCTGTGTGAGTTTCTTTTGTTAGGCCTGAAATTTTTTAAATAACTTTCTGGAGAAACATAGCTAAACTGTTGAAGAAAAATCTGAAAATTTGCTTTTTGTTGTTAAAAAAAAATGATCAATTTATTTAAGATTATATTTATTCCCAGTTTATGAAAAGACCTAATCTCATCATATTCTGCAAACTAGTAGAAATTGATGTCAGGTTTGTAATACAGGAACTAAAGATCTTAGTAACATACTTGCAACATTCATATGAATATGGTATTCTGAATCTTGTTCTTTCATTTAGCCCAAGTCAAGACAACCACCAGATGCAAAACTAAAAACAAGGAAGAAGAAAAATTTCTTGAAAGGTACGTCTACTTCATTTACTGAAAGATGGCATGTGAGTTGTATGTTGGCATGTCAGTTGTATGTTGGCATGTCAGTTGTATGTTGGCATGTGAGTTGTATGTTACACTCATGTCAGTTGTATGTTGCCAAGAACTCAGTTGTATGTTGGCATGTCAGTTGTATGTTGGCATATCAGGTGATATTGGATGAGTTGTATGTTGGCATGTCAGTTGTATGTTGGCATGTCAGTTGTATGTTGTATTGGCATGTGAGTTGTATGTTGGTATGTCAGTTGTATGTTGGCATGTCAGTTGTATGTTGGCATGTCAGTTGTATGTTGGCATGTCAGTTGTATGTTGGCATGTCAGTTGTATGTTGGCATGTGTCAGTTGTATGTTCAGCTGTATGATGGCATGTCAGTTGTATGTTGTCTGTGTCAGTTGTATGTTGGCATGTCAGTTGTATGTTGGCATGTGAGTTGTATGTTGGCATGTGAGTTGTATGTTGGCATGTCAGTTGTATGTTGCTGTGTCAGTTGTATGTTGGCATGTCAGTTGTATGTTGGCATGTCAGTTGTATGTTGCTGTGTCAGTTGTATGTTGGCATGTCAGTTGTATGTTGGCATGTGAGTTGTATGTTGGCATGTCAGTTGTATGTTGGCATGTCAGTTGTATGTTGGCATGTGAGTTGTATGTTGGTATGTCAGTTGTATGTTGGCATGTGAGTTGTATGTTGGCATGTGAGTTGTATGTTGGCATGTCAGTTGTATGTTGGCATGTCAGTTGTATGTTGGCATGTCAGTTGTATGTTGGCATGTGAGTTGTATGTTGGCATGTGAGTTGTATGTTGGCATGTGAGTTGTATGTTGGTATGTCAGTTGTATGTTGGCATGTCATATGTATGTTGGCATGTCAGTTGTATGTTGGCATGTCAGTTGTATGATGGAGAAAAACCAGGGGTGATACAGATCACAGACAATTGCTGTTTTGTTCAAACAATCTAGTAAGGCTGTGTATGAAAGTCCCTAAAAATATTTATCAAGGCCGATAACTTTTAAGACCTACAAGTGCCACTAAAAACCCACCAGTCCAATTGACATTGTTAAAAAGTAGTTTTCAAATAAACAAAATAGAGAAAATGTATGTTTGATGAGCTTTATTTAAATGCACAGCTTCCACAAGCTGGCAACTTGAACTCAAAAATACTCATCTAGGGTCACTGAGGGTGAAGTCTAGAGATATTATTTGTCAAATACTCACCTGTCTGTCGGTCAGGAAAATATGATTTTGTCACTCCTCACTCCCTCTTAATGTCGACCCATCTTGGGTGTTCACGTGGATGCTTATTTCGAACACTGAGTATGGTAAAGTGCGGAGAAACCTGGAAATAAAATCAAGATGGTTCTTGGATTTGAACCCACAATAACAGATTTGTGGCACAGTTAAGAGAAGTAATGAATTATTCCACCTTAGATGACTGATTGAACACCTTTTGAGTCTGGACTGACTGACTGAGTTTAGTTTTACGCAGCTTTTAGCAATATTCCAGCAATATCACAGCAGGGGATACCAGAAATGGGCTTAACACAGGTATTTCAAGTTTCTTTTGTGTCCGGAATAAGAGTATCCTTGTGACTAGAGGCTATACTCCTTGGAACCTGAAGAAGATTTAGGCTAGAATATGCCTCCAGCAACCCATGCTTGTCGTTAAAGGCGACTAACGGGGTCAGGTGGTCAGGCTTGCTGACTTGGTTGACACATGTCATCGGTTCCCACTTACACAGATCGGTGGTCATGATGTTGATCACTGGATTGTCTAATGCAGACTTGATGATTTACAGACCACAGGAATAGCTTGAATATTGCAGAGTGGGGCGTAAACAACAAAGAGTGTATCCACTTATCACAGATTCAGGCAGGGAAGGATGTTGCAGACTGCATCAGTGTGGGGCAACCAAACCAGGATCTTTCGTGTGTGACGACCAGCTACAGGAAGCATCCATGGAAGTCCTGATTAGAATATTTCTCCTGAAAACAATGCATGCCGTACAAGGTAACAAAACAGACTGGATGGCCGGGCTCATTTAGCTTCAATATTGCTGAGTGCAGTGTTAAACAACAAACAAACAAACGAAACTATAATCCTGGAACATGTCACAAATGTCTCCTGTTGTTTCAGCTGCCTCTGAGAAGAAGAAAACGTCAACAACAGAGAAGGACCAGTCTGCCCAGAGTCAGGTAAATCCTTTCACTCCACTCATAAAATCTTTGAATGGCGTTTGACAGATAAACATAGGGGGGGGAACATTTATGGATGTCAGAGTCTATATTATGAGGAATACAGCATTTTGGAGAATATTCTTACTTCTCCCTGATTCATTCACCTGATGAATATTCTCAGAAATATTGTGTTATGATGTAGAAGTTGGTATCCTTAAATGTCAGTCTAAGTAAACCTAGGCTCAGTATTATTCGTTACACTGCTATACTGAGTCTTACAAACCCTAGAAGAAACCTTTGAGCAACCTGTGACCGTCCAATCAAAACGGCGAGATGGCTGAATGGATTTAACCAATCAGACAATGACTACTTGTTAGGGTTCAGCGGGACTTACAAAACGTTTTTTGGATTTTCCCTGGTCGCTGACTCCAGAGACCACACAATAGACCATCTATTATATGGTCTCTGCTGACACTGATCTATCAACTAATGAAAATCTGTATAAAACACAGATATTTCACCTGCAGTATATACGCTTTAGGGCTTTCTTTATGACATGATTACTATTAGCTTATATTTCCACAAGATGACATCCTTGAATATTGACAAAAACACTATGTTCAGCGACTGTTTACTCATTGTGTCCTCCGCGGTGTATCACCTCGAAAGATCGCATCGTGGAAAATAGCATTCGAATCGCTTTGATTTTTAGGTAAAGGTTCAAACAGTATGTGCGAATGTTAACGTTAGCGAATTGGTAAGCTGTGTTCTGATTGGTCAGTCCAAAAGGTTAGCTGATGCGAGCTTCTACTAGGGTTGGTTAGACTCAGTATAGTAGTGTAATGAAACATACTGAGCCTATAGCTAAGTTTACTTAGACTGCTTAAATATTCTGCTACCTTCCTACTCCATTCATATGTGTAAGTCCAATTTTCACAGTTGATCGTACAAAGAAGGTGGTATAGAAAATGCACTGTACTCCGTCATTTTTCATCCACTGTACACTGTTATTCTTCATCCACTGTACACTGTTATTCTTCGTCCACTGTACACTGTTATTCTTCATCCACTGTACACTGTTATTTTCGTCCACTGTACACTGTTATTCTTCATCCACTGTACACTGTTATTCTTCGTCCACTGTACACTGTTATTCTTCATCCACTGTACACCGTTATTCTTCGTCCACTGTACACTGTTATTCTTCATCCACCGTACACTGTTACTCTTCGGCCCACCGTACACTGTTATTCTTCATCCACCTGTACACTGTTATTCTTCGCCCACCGTGTACACTCGTTATTCTTCATCCACTGTACACTGTTCTTCATCCACTGTACACTGTTATTCTTCATCCACTGTACACTGTTGTTCTTCATCCACTGTACACTGTTGTTCATCCACTGTACACTGTTGTTCATCCACTGTACACTGTTATTCTTCGTCCACTGTACACTGTTATTCTTCATCCACTGTACACTGTTCTTCATCCACTGTACACTGTTATTCTTCATCCACTGTACACTGTTGTTCTTCATCCACCGTACACTGTTGTTCTTCATCCACTGTACACTGTTGTTCTTCATCCACTGTACACTGTTATTCTTCATCCACTGTACACTGTACACTGTTATTCTTCATCCACTGTACACTGTTATTCTTCATCCACTGTACACTGTTGTTCTTCATCCACTGTACACTGTTGTTCTTCATCCACTGTACACTGTTATTCTTCGGCCCACTGTACACCGTTATTCTTCATCCACTGTACACTGTTATTCTTCATCCACTGTACACTGTTCTTCATCCACTGTACACACCGTTATTCTTCATCCACTGTACACTGTTGTTCTTCATCCACCGTACACCGTTATTCTTCATCCACTGTACACCGTTGTTCTTCATCCACCGTACACCGTTATTCTTCATCCACCGTACACTGTTGTTCTTCATCCACCGTACACCGTACACCGTTATTCTTCATCCACTGTACACTGTTATTCTTCATCCACCGTACACTGTTGTTCTTCATCCACTGTACACTGTTGTTCTTCATCCACTGTACACTGTTATTCTTCATCCACTGTACACTGTTATTCTTCATCCACTGTACACTGTTATTCTTCATCCACTGTACACTGTTATTCTTCATCCACTGTACACTGTACACTGTTATTCTTCATCCACTGTACACTGTTATTCTTCATCCACTGTACACTGTTGTTCTTCATCCACTGTACACTGTTGTTCTTCATCCACTGTACACTGTTATTCTTCGTCCACTGTACACTGTTATTCTTCATCCACTGTACACTGTTATTCTTCATCCACTGTACACTGTTATTCTTCATCCACTGTACACTGTTATTCTTCATCCACTGTACACTGTTATTCTTCATCCACTGTACACTGTTATTCTTCATCCACTGTACACTGTTATTCTTCATCCACTGTACACTGTTATTCTTCATCCACTGTACACTGTTATTTTTCATCCACTGTACACTGTATACTGTTATTCTTCATCCACTGTACACTGTTATTCTTCATCCACTGTACACTGTTATTCTTCATCCACTGTACACTGTTATTCTTCATCCACTGTACACTGTTATTCTTCATCCACTGTACACTGTTCTTCATCCACTGTACACTGTTATTCTTCATCCACTGTACACTGTTATTCTTCATCCACTGTACACTGTTATTCTTCTTCATCCACTGTACACTGTTATTCTTCATCCACTGTACACTGTTATTCTTCATCCACTGTACACCGTTCTTCATCCACTGTACACTGTTATTCTTCGGCCCACCTGTACACCTGTTATTCTTCATCCACTGTACACTGTTGTTCTTCATCCACTGTACACTGTTATTCTTCATCCACTGTACACTGTTATTCTTCATCCACTGTACACTGTTATTCTTCATCCACTGTACACTGTTATTCTTCATCCACTGTACACTGTTCTTCATCCACTGTACACTGTTACTCTTCGTCCACTGTACACTGTTATTCTTCATCCACTGTACACTGTTGTTCTTCATCCACTCTACACTGTTGTTCTTCATCCACTCTACACTGTAATTTATTCCCCGTCATGAAGTGGAAGGGGGATAAAGGTTTGAGCTCCGTCCATCAGTCTGGGACAGATTTTCTCAAAAACCCAATTTGATATGTGTTTTTCAGGACATAAATGCCTTGATGGAGTTTGAAAACAGAAACCATGTTATGAGTCTTTAAAGAGTTATGGCCCTTGTCATGCATTTCTTGACTTGGTACATGTTATCCCCAATGGGAACAGATTTTCTCAGTAACTGTTATAGATGGGGAAACCAAATGTGGTATGTGTTTTCAGCACATGAAAGCTATGGTGGAGTTAAAATCAGAAACCGTGTTACAATTTTTAATGGAGTCATGGTCCTTGTCCATTCTCTTCCCACAGAGGTTACTCCTGTCATATCTTCCTACTTAACTTCTGTTCTAATACGGCCATATTTCCCGGTTCTCGTAAAATCCCCTAGCGGCAAAAGATCGCAACACGAATTATCTCCCTTCTTTCTATCCAGTCAGAACACGTGTTACATCGACTTAGATTCAACGTGACAAACACAAGCAAATGTTGGGCCACAAATAACCCCCATCTGCCGGGGACTTGTGTTGATGTTACACACAAGACGTTTAATGGCTAACTTGTCCGTTGTCAACAGGGGCGATGGAGACGCCACTGATCCGCCATAACATGACTGAGTTCTGTCTAGAAGAAACGTTTGCGCATCGCGCAGGGGAATAGGTTTAGTTTTCTCGAAGCATACGGAAATTTCTGAGGCCTTGCGAATGAGTCACTTTTGAAACAACGTCGCTGATTGCACAACTAAATCTGAGTACCTCCAATCACGAGTCTTGAACGCTCACACCATGAAAGGGCCGTATTAGAACAGAGGTTACGTAGGAAGATATGACAGGAGTAACCTCTGTGGGAAGAGAATGGGCCCTTGTCATGCATTTCTTAGGATATATAATAGCTTCGTGCGTGGTGTCCTCAATGATGACATGCTTCCACACAGCGACACTGGCACTAATCTTCACAATCTATATCCTTGAAATGGTTTAATTGTGGTGATGGATGCTTCTCTATATGCTTTATCTTACACATTCATAACACCTCATCCCACAGTCGGGCGGTGGGGTAGCCTAGTGGTTAAAGCGTTGACTCGTCACGCCGAAGACCCGGGTTCGATTCCCCACATGGGCACATTGTGTTAAGCCCATTTCTGGTGTCCCCCGCCGTGATATTGCTGGAATATTGCTAAAAGCGGTGTAAAACTAAACTCACTCACTCATCCCACAGTCTGTCGCGGGGATAATGATGACCATGTCTTCTTATTCTTCATCCACTGCACACTACATTCTACATCCTCAGTGAACGCATTCTTCATCAACTGTCCACTATCTTCTGGACATTGTTCTTGTAGAAGCCATCAGTGAAGACAATGCCCGCTGACAGTTCGAAGACTGTCACTCTCTTTACTCGGAGTCAGAAAGTGGTCTTCAGGAAGGAAGAATTCCTAGCAGGGGATGCTGACCCCATGGAGAGAGAGCTGTCTAAGAGTCTGGGTGGGGACACAGATATGGTGAATATCGGGAGGTGAGTTACCCCATGTAGAGAGAACTGTCACAGGGTGTGGGTATGGACACGGAAATCTTGAGTATCGGGAGGTGAATACCCTATGAAGAGAGATCTGTCTTAAAGTGTGGGTGGGGACTTAGATATGGTTTAATATTGGGATGTGAGCGACTCTAAGGTATTCTGACACCATAGAGTGAGCGAGTTTAGTTTTATGAGGCACTTAGCAATTTTCCAGCTATATGGCAGTGAGCTGTAAATAATTGAGTCTGAACCAGACAATCCAGTGATCAACAGCATGAGCATCAATCTATGCAGTTGGGAACCGATGACATGTGTCAACCAAGTCAGCGAGCCTGACCACCTGATTCCGTTAGGTGCCTCATACGATAAGCATGGGTTACTTAAGATCAATTCTAACCTGGAATTTTATGGGTGACACCACAGAGGGAGAGGGTCGTACAATAGTGAGTCAGGGACATGATTATGGGGAATACTGTGATGGAGAGGGAGAGCTATGGTTAAGATACGGAGGTGAATGACTAGAGATTTAGTTCAGTCTAGTGAGTGTGTCCGATGGGAGAGACCACTGAAGGAGGGCACTGTGATGGTGTGTGCTTATGCACTTAGCACCTGGTGTTAATGACATACGGTTATTCATTGATGAGCCCTGTCAACGCTGTTACCCGCTGATAGTACAGGGCACACGAGCACACCAAAATTGTTTTGGCTTAGAGCAACTGAGTGTCAGACAGCATGTTAGTGACAGAACACATGAACTGTCGACCATACAATCCAAGGGAGGTAATTCATGTAACATCTGATGCCTTATCATACTTAGTTGTTTGTTATGTAACGGTAATGTTTCTGTAATATTTACCTATATGATGGCGGCTTGTAAATAGTCAAGCCTAGACCGGACAATCAAATTATTGACAAAACGGGCATTCATACAATTGTAATTTATTAACATGCATTACAATATAAGTTGTTCACTCAGGTCTCGAGGGTACATCAACCCATGGGCCCCGAGGGACCAGTGTACAACGTATTTATCTTACCGAACACCTTAATGTTAATTTTGAATTGTTTGAAGCACGGGTACAAATATTTTTGTATCCATCGCTAGATTTTGCTGTCAAGAAAAACAGATTTAGAGTTATCTCCCTTCCATCAGAGACCATATAATATATCTATTATATGGTCTCTGCTTCCATTGATTTGCATTCGGAAAACATCGGTACTTTCCGTACATCATACATGATTCAATGTTATTTGAGATAAAGAATAACTACCATGAAGTACCAAATGAGCTGCCATTGACAGCGGGGTACATTGAAATGTTACTCTCTTGTAAGTGGGGTACACTGAAAATAATAGAAGAACGCTCAGCCAATCAGAAAGCGACATTTATGTGTGAGGTAAGATAATAGGTATTGCATATCATGATTGATATCTGGATGAATCCAATGAATTGATCATCAAAATTCTTCAGATATTTTCCTTTGTCATTTTCTCAAAGTTATGTCCAGAAGTGAATCTGGACCAGACAATCGGGTGAATGATATCATAGGCATTGACAGATGCAGGTGGGATTCGATGACATGTGTTGCCTCTTGCGTTGTGTTGAGCTGAGATGAGTTTTACGTGACTCAGAAATATTCCAGCTAAATATGGCGGTCGCCTCGTACGACAGTCATGGGTTGCTGGAGACCAATTCTAGCCTGGATCTTCACGGGTTCAGATGCCACTTGGATTTCAGGGCAGAATAGGTTGCCAGTTCCTGATGTTTGTTGTTACAGCTGACAAAAGAGGATCGGATGGCCAAAATGTGTGACCTGCCTGATTTTGTGTCATTGCAACCTTGAGGGTTGTCATGTTACGAGATAAAAACTGGATTATCGGTCATAGAGTCGATTAGTTATCCTTGACATATATACAACTGCTCTCACATTCATGACACTTTGAGACCTGGATCTCCTTGTCCATGTTGGTAATTATTTCAGCTCTGTATTGTGTGTATTAATGTTGTCAGATTGTGCAAGTCAGACCTTGGTGACGACATGTTCAAACGAGCACAGCAGCTGGTGGAAATAGTGAAGGATGAACGTCTGCTCCAGGTAAGATTGAGTGGTTGCCATAGTTACTCATCACGTCGCGTTTTAATACATGTATTGGAATATTGCTCCCCAAACTTCATGTTGTTGGGTTTTTTTAACATTTCTATCATTAGATCTCTAAATTCCACCTGTGCACATTTGATGAATTCCATAATGATATCCAAAGATTTCCTGACTTCTTAGATTAAGCTGACTAACCACCTCCAAAAACCTTTGTATTAATCATTTATAACAACAGATCATTTCTCATGACATCCTTTATGGATTACTGTTTTAATGATCTAAACTACGCCGGGAGGTTTGGTAGCCTAGTGGTTAAAATGTTTACTCGTGACGGCAAATACCCAGGTTCGATTCCCTACATGGGTACAATATGTGAAGCCCATTTCTGTGTCCCCCACCATGATATTGCTGGAATATTGCTAAAAGTGGCATAAAAACTTCACTCACTCACTCTCTCTCCTCACTAAACCACTGTCTGCTCTCCACAGGTACAACTACAGGATCTGCTTGGCTGGAGAAACTACAAGAAATTTGGAGCCTTTCTGATTAGTGAAGGTCGGACGTCATAGACAATATACACTGATACAAGTTCATGTTTTGACATTGTTGCTATGGATATGACCTTTGCAAAGTGATTATGAAAAGTAATGTACATTGAAGGGTGATTTTCAGTGTTGAACAAACAGAAGCTCAGTTCCTTACTATTCCCATGGCCAGATTTGTCCAATAAAATCATGAACTGGATGAAAGGATTATCATCATCCAATCATGTTGCCATGGAGATCTGTCTTAGTTGATATACAAAACTCTGCTTTAATTCAAGGAAACCTATTCCTACTGGCATTATGGAGAGAAGATTTGTCCCAGAAAATTCAATTGGAAGAAAGGATTATCATCATTCAATCATGTTGCCATGGAGATGTGTGTCAGTTGTGAGATACAAAATGCAACTTAATTTTTTAGAAACCTATTCCTGCAGACATTATGGAGAGAAGATTTGTCCAATAAAATCATGAATTGGACGAAAGGATTATCATCATCAAGATCATGTTGCCATGGAGATGTGTGTCACATGTGAGATAATTGTATTTCTAATAAGCGCCGGGTCTCTAATAACCAAGGGTAAAGCAGGTCAATTCATAACAATTATGGGAGTAAAGCAGTTCAATTCATCACAATCATGGATGTAAAACATTCTAGAATATGACAGTGAGTAGTCTCAGATATATGCAAACTTGACATGTTATCATCAACTGTGTTCCACAAACTTGCACAATGCTATGATATCATGAACTTGATGATGTCACAATACTATGACATCGGTGCACTGCAAGTCTAATCGCAGTATTGTGTTCAGAGTTATACATTTTCATTGAAAACTAATGAAGGGTGATTTTTGATGATAAATAGAATCTCACCCTCGTGTCCTCGATATCGAATATATCAACACTTGTTGATAAAAGTAAAAATATCCTCGGCAAGCAGCTTTATCAACTCATGGTGATACATTTGATATCAAAAGACACTTGGGTTAGATTCTCTATTTCTCTCTCTTGGCAGGGACAGAGGGGTAGCCTAATGGTTAAAGCGTCCGCTCATCATGACGAGGACACAGGTTCGATTCCCCACATGGGTACCGGTACAATGTATGAAGCCCATTTCTGCTCTATCCACAATGTGATTTGCTGGAATATTGCTAAAAGAGGCTTAAAACCATACTCACTCACTCATTGACTCTTAGCTTTTCATGGATGCAATGTAAGTGGATAGAATATAAATAACTGATCTACCTCACAATCAAAATGATGAACTGATTAGCGTTCCAGAAGTTGGTGAGTAAATAAGATAACATACAACTCTATGGACAACAAGTTCGGTTTTTTTATGCCAGTTTTGTGTAGATTATTACACTGTTTGTGTTGTCAAGGTGGAATTAATAAATGAGAAAATGATTTCCATAAAGTTGAACTTTTTAAAAAATGTTTAATGAAATGTCATGATTGATATTTGCAAGTCAGTTGTTGACAAGTTACTCCGCAGATAATCTCTTATAACATATATTGAATAATTTTGAATTATTAAGTGCACAAACAGCTAACTTGACCTGCAAATATGTTTTCAACCATTGTTAGTTGTTAATTTTTATGAAAATTATTGTAGAATAGAATGAGTCTGGAATCATATTTTTAATAAAAGCAGAATTGACTGGAATTCAACTTCTTTCAGTCTTTCAATGTGACTTTTGATGCAGAGGCTGGTCACTTTAAGTGATGAACAGATGAGAAGGACTTGGATATACAACTAAGAATTACATGTACAGAGATTAACAAAAAGAACATTCCTACATCGGTGAAAAACTGGTGATGGGGATGAAGTCTAGGGATGAGACCTTTACCGTGGTGAAAGAGGAAAAGTTGAAACCAAAAGTCAAACTCTCTCTTAAAACTGCCACTTAAAGATAATTATTTTTTAATGTTGGCCTTTAATATGTGTTGTTCCGGACAATGAGTGTGATTTTACAATGAAGATTTTATTTAGCCTCCAACACATAGGCTCTATAGGTTGAAAATATTAACATGTTGGTAATTAAAATGAATTTGTGTTCACTTTGCTTGGCTTTGGTGAAAGCTTTGGGTGCTACAGGATATTTATGATTTTATTTTTTCATGTTGTAAAAACAAATATTTAAATTGTAAATAAATGTACATTAGATTGAGGGTCAATTTTTTTAAGTTGAGATAAATGCAAGATCATTATATGTAAAGCAATACTGATGCTGTCAATCAGTGGATTGCCTGGTCCCGGACTGGATATTTACAGACATCTTCCATAGAGCTGGAATATTACAAGGTGACATCAAGTACTATATTTTACAATATTTTGGTATACCACATCTGTGGTTTGAACCACTGTCTTTCTGCTGTCTGGGCTGACTCAAATATTTTGTGTTTTATTTGTGACAGTAAAGCTATACAGTGAGTCCTCGATATACCACATCTGGGGTTTTAACCACTGACGTTTTACTTTGTGGCCTGATTCTTAAAGATTTTGTACCCATGATGGTCTTGGCTAGAATTGGCCTTCAGTAACCCATTTTTGTTGTAAGAGGCAACTAACGGGATTGGGTGGTCAGGCTTGCAGATACATCGTCATCATATCCCAACTGTGTAGATTGATGATCATGATATTGATCACTGGATTGTCTGGTCCAGACTTGATTATTTATAGACCGCGCAAAATAGTCGGGCTTGCTACGCCTGAAATTTACTAGCCCACGAAATAATTCACTAGCCCGAAATTTGAATGTGGACACGGGTTTCATCATTATGCTTCTAATATGATGAACATTTTTATGAGGCCATAATCTTACGTGATTTAAAAGTGTATTATAACTCAACAAGCCGGAGAGAGTGATATATTAACCAAATGAAAATGCACTAGCGAGTCGGACCAGTGACTGTGGAGATTTACTGGCCCAACTGGAATTTTACTAGCCACAGGCTAGCGGGCCAGTGGCTATTTTGCACACTGGACCCCATGTTTAATCCTTGATAGTGTTCAGCACCGAGCATAGTAAAGATGACTCGCTGTATACTGAAAGAAACTACTTCACCACATGAAGTGTCCAGCCCTTAGTTTCTGCATGACACTGCCATGGTTTTCACTAGTTGGACTGTTTCGTGTTTACCGTAGGATATTAATTCTGTCCATGTCAGGGTCCGTGGGGTAGCATAGTGGTTCAGGCGTTCGCTTGCCTCGCCGAAGACCCGGGTTCGATTCCCTACATGGGTACAATGTGTGAAACCCATTTCTGGTCTCCCTGGCCATGATGTTGCTGGAATATTGCTAAAAGTGGAGTAAAACTCACTCACTGCCCATGTCATCTGTATTATTAGAATGGAGTTATCTCTAAAGAATCTTAGAGGTATTAGAGAAAACTGTACAGTTGAGAATGTGATATATTTTGTTTTTTATTTCAACCCTGTGACTTAATGTATGGTTTTACTTTGTATATTTTACCCTTGAAGACCCGGGTTCAAATTGGTACTCAGTAACCCATGCTTGTTGTAAGAGGCGACTGAGGGGATCGGGTGGTCAGGCTCGCTTGGTTGACACATGTCATCGTATCCCAGTTGTGTAGATCGATGCTCATGTTGTTTGTCACTGGATTGTCTGGTCCAGACTAGATTATGTACAGACCACAGCCATATACAGTGTAGGAAAGATGTAGAAAATCTAGCCTGTCCATAGGACTGGCAGGTCAATTTTTTTACCAGTCCTGCCAAAATCTAGCCTGTCCTCCAACTATAAATAAAACACCTTCGGCAGTAAATATTCAAAAAGGTTATAATCATTATATATATGTCATTGGTTTGCTAAAATTGACCCGACATGAGGACGGACTAGATATTTTTTTAACCCGTCCTCCACAAAATTCACCCGTCTCGGACGTTGGGACGGGCTATCTTTACTACTCTGCCATATAGCTGGAATATTGCTGAGTGCGGCATCAAACAGCAAACTGTGTGTATTTTAAACTACTTTGATGAGCATCATTTGTATTACCCTCACGTGTTCATCGTACATGTATTTTGACCCACTATTAACATGTTTTGAAATGCTCAATGTGATTTTTAACAAATTGTCCAGAAACATTTAATCAAACAAAATATATTTCATAATATTGTTTATTTCATGTTTTATAGGACATTGACCCATTTTGTATTTACTTAAGATGGTGTAAAGTTTCTATTTTCTTGAAACACATAAACATTAACAAACCGTGTATGAGCTAGATTTTTTAAGTTCATTTTGCTTAATTCATGTTTATGCTCATTAAGAAAAATGATTATATATTTTATCAATGTATGCAAAATTGTTTTAATTGTATGTGAAATATGCTAATTTGTTCATCGGCTTTATTTGACACCAGGACGGGGGTGTAGCCTAGTGGTTAAAGCGTTCGCTTGTGGTGCCAAAGACCGGAGTTCCATTCCCTACATGGGTACTATGTATGAAACCCATTTCTGGTGTCCCCCGTCCTGATATTGCTAGAATACTGCTAAAAGAGACATAAAATCATCCTCACTCACTGATTTCACACCCTAACATCCACACCCATACCCACTCCTTGTCAGGGATAAAACAGTAGTGAAGATCCGGGTTAGAATTGATCTTCAGTAACCCATGCTTGTCATAAGAGGCGACTAACGGATCGGGTGGTCAGGCTCGCTGACTTGGTTGACATATGTCATCGTATCCCAATTGCGTAGATCGGTGCTCATGGTGTTGATCACTGGATTTTCTGGTCCAAACTTGAATATTTACAGAGCTCTGCCATATAGCTGGAATATTGTGTGCGGCGTAAAACTAAATTCACTCACTCAAACGTAGTGAACAAACTTAGTTGAAACCTCTGTGAAGGTAACATTGTTTCGATGACAGTTGCAGGGCAAATGTATCCGCCATCCCGTCTGTATACTGTGAACAATTAATATCCAAATATATGAATATCATTTAACACATGTTATATTTCGGATTACACTTTCTCAGTAAAGTACAGATTCTTGTACTTTTGTTGGGTTAGTCCCATCCCGGATTCGAACCCACACGCCAAGTGTCAGGCACCTAATTGCCAGCACACAAAATCAGCCATCTAACCCACTCAGCCATCTAACCCACTCAGCCATCGCAGGCTTCCACGTGTGTGT